AGACATGCTGGTAGGTTAAAGTGGAGCTGAATTCCCAATTTCCCAGACCAGTTATTAAATCTCTGTAATAAAATAAAATCATTGATGGCATAGAAAAAAGTTACAAATTTCAAATTAAGCACGAAATTGTGAATTTTGTGAAAGTTCTAGATTGTTAGGTGCCCCGGCTAGCTCTATTGGTAGAGCATGAGACTCTTAATCTCAGGGTAGTGGGTTTGTGTCCCTCGTTGGGCGCCAGGTCCTCCATGTTGGAGGTTGGGCACAAGGTGAACAGCCCTGTCCCATAACAAAACCCCAAATGTTATGCTAACAGCAATAGGATGTTGCTGCCCCTAAGTGCCGGAAGGCATAACAGACAAACATCCATCCACTAGACCGTTGCCATGTGGTCGCCATCATGGGAGAGAGCAAGAGTTTGTGGGAATTGTGATGTGAAGTGGCCCTTCTTGCTCACTAGTCACTGTAATGACTAATGTATTGCTACATACGAGCAAATAATGTACAGGTTGTGCATTAGACATCTCACCACAGAAATGTTCCAACATAATCTGCATGCAGAGTTTACAAGTTAAGTAGTATTTGTCAGCAAAACTGTCTATAAATTGAGAGCAATATTTCTGTTGGATTAAAAAAGATGTATTTGCAAGCCTGCTTGTTTACACTGTAATGTGGAATATGGCACGCGCATACCTCATACCTGGAAATTTAGTCTTATTTTGGGATGTAAATTAGAGGTTTTAAATGTTACTGTGTACTTTTTACTTTTGTTGTGGTTTGATTCTTTTTCAACACTAAAATATAAAAATGGTGGTGTAGTTCCCCTTTAATTGGCTTCTGGCAAAATTGTCCCTGGTGTTAGTATGTGTGTTTTTGTGTCTTTTTGCCCTGTGATGGAGAGTTGTCCTGTCCTGGGTGTGTCCCACTCATTGCTTGCTGGGATAGGCTCCAGTTCCCCTGCCACCCTGAAATGGAAGAAGTGGTCAGAAAATGGATGGATGTGTATTTACTGTTGTGTTTTAAAATATCAGGGAAGGAACTGTGATGTGGTGTAACAGAACTCTTCCGAATTGTCTGTGTTTTAACTCAGTTTGAGCAGTAGGAGATTAGTTCATTTGACAGCCAAGTCTTCGATCTACATCTGTAAGTGCAAAGAATAGCCTTTGTTCCGGAGTAGCCTTTGGTATGTGTTGGAAACATGTCACAAGCATTTTGCAGTGAACAATGAAAGTGTGCCTGGCAGTCAAAGGACTGCAGCCTGGGACATTCTCAGACACGCTGAGATTGTTTGGAAACACAGCTGTTACATCAGACCGAATAGGCAAGAGATTGCTGCAGTAAATCAGCACTGAGCAGCACATATCTGGCACAGCTCACAGCAACCAGTGAAAAGGACCAGACACGAATTATATAGAACTTAAACAAAAATGTTTTATTAATGCTTTTCATAATAGGAAGGAGCTGTGGTAGCTCAGACAGCAAGGGTGTTTAGCTTCTGCCTAGAAGGTCCTGGGTTCAATCCCAGGTAGGGGCAAGTGATTGATGAAGCTTGCTCTAACTCCTTCCAGACGGCTCCCAGGTCCACCCTGCCTGCTTCCCAAATGAGTATTGGGGGTTAATCCTTCTGGGGGTAATAGGCTGGCCAGATAGTGATGCTGACCACATCACCTTCACCTCCAGTGTCAGATGGTTGAGTGGCCCTTGCCCCCCATTTTCCCATGGGCCTTCATGGCCTGAAAAGGGGACCTACCTACCTTTCTTATGTGAAGGATTCCTGGGTTTTTTTGCACTCAGACGCAAGCTTAGTCGCAAGAATGTGCCTTAACACAGAAAACTGGAGGCACTTCTCACACACTGTTGTGGGAGTCCAGAACCAGCTACTTAGCTATGTTGTTGATACCCTGGCGTCTTTCAGAGAAGCTCCTCTGGAGGATCTGCAGTGACTGCAGAAGGACTGGGTGATTTTGCACAGGTGTTTGTTGCCAAGAAGAATTCTGGGCTCTCTTCCAGACACAGTTTAGGCCCACATTGCCGACATCTGCTGGCAGACATCAGTATTGACACGAGGAGCATTGTGGATTTATTTCTTCCCAACTCTTCAACCCAAAATGAGATCAAAGGGCTGCAATACCAGGGATTATTATAACCACTGTGACAGATAATGTATTTATTAGTATTTAAATATATTACTACTTATTTAATACGATTAAATAGATTATTATATAATTTTAATATTATGCTAGGGCTGCAGACTGGCACCGTGGTTATCACTGGTGCCTTTCAGTGCTGGTGTCCTGGTTTCAATGCTGGAGCTGGGGTGCTGTCTGTGTGGAGTCTGCATATTCTCCCCATGTTCCCACAGTCCAGAAACATAATGGGAGGTTAAATTGGCTTCTGGGGAAATCAGCCCTGATGTGATGGACTGTCATCCTTCTAGAGTGTATTCTGCCCTGTGTCTGTTGCTTGCTGGGATAGGTTCCAACTCCCCTGAGAACTGGATGAAGCTGAAGATGGATGGATGGAATATTATAATAATGAATATATTGGTACTATCCAGTTTATATATTAGTATTAAAAAAACATGTGGTTTTGAATTATCAAAAAGCTAATGTTCTATGATTCTAGATAGCTGTTTAGGTTCTTCAAAATGACCCACAATTTTCTTACTTATTTTTCTATTTTGGTTTTCAAATTTAAAATTGACTGCTGCTGTCAAATATGTATTTTTTTAACCTAGGGGGCTCTTATTCTAGATAATGTGCAGAGTTAGTAGTGCTGGTGTTTGGGCATGGACAGGACCGGGACGGGAGATCCCAGTCAGAGTTACTGGCGCTGGTGTTTGGGCATGTTCAGGACCGGCACAGGAGATCCCAGTCAGAGTTACTGGTGCTGGTAGACCAAGACCAGTGAGGGTAGGCCAAGTTAGGCTCTAGATGTGAGCGACGCTATATGACGGGGTGGGTACGCACAATGGATAGATAGGAAAATCAATAACACTGTGTTCCCCATGCAGGGTGTCGAGATCTGCTACTATTTGTACCAATGGGCAACCATGCCAGTGGTGCCACATTACCTTGTAGGCTGGGGCGAGTTGGTGTCAAAAACAGAAAATGTGAATGTGATTCCAACACTGCTAGAATGACACTAATAAAATATTTTACAAAGAAAGTGATTGTATTTACATGGCTTTGTTTTTACTCGCCTGTCATCTTTTTTTGTTTCTCCCAAATAGAGAATTGATTTGCTTGTCCTCCGCTTACCCAGTAATTAAGAGCCTGATGATCCAACCAGACGATGACCTCAGCCGCGCGTTAAAGCACAAGGAATGGAAAAGGGAAACCTAGGTGATTTCAAAACTGTGTAAAATACATTTCAAAACTATCACAGAGTAATAGATAGCAGATCCGTCGTGGGCTCCTGTCAGATGCGTAGATTTCTTTTCAAAGTGGGTTCCGAGTGCTGCTGTGATCTGGGGTTCTTTCTTTCTAAGACTAAAACTTTCTAGACGGTGCGGTGGCTCTGTTGCTAAGGATCTGTACCTGTGGCTGGAAGGTTGCCGGTTCATATCCCGCAGCTGGCAGAAGAATCCTACTCCATTGGGCCCCTAAGCAAGACCCTTAACCCCAACTGCTCAACTGCCCCACAGCTGTATAAATGTCTGACCCTGTGCTCTGACCCCAAGCTTCTCTTCCCCTCTGTGTGTCTCAGCAAGTTGGGGTATGTGAAAAGACAAATTCCTAATACAAGACATTGTGTATGGCCAACAAGGTATATCTTACGTTATATCCCAGCACTGCACAGATTCTGCAGTTTGAAATAGAGGATTGCAATCTAGGCTGCTACTCTGAAGCCTGGGTTCATATCTCACAAAGCTGCATATTGCGATGAGCAACACTGACTATGAGATGCTACACTAAAGTAGGCACTCATCAAGCAATGGCCTGGAATACACATACAGGAGGCAAATATTTACATCAAGTTTGTTGTGGTCAGAGGAGCTCAGAATGTCAGTACTCTCTAGCATTATGCTAGATTACTACAGGCAAAATGTGCTTAATAATTCCTTACATTTATAAAGGACTTTTCACATAGAAGGGAACCAACTTCAGCCACCACTTAATTGCAGCTCTATCTTAAGTGATGCACAGCCCAGCAGGTGTGTTCTATCAGCTGAATGAAAAAGAAATAATGCGGAATTCCAAAGTGTAGGTTGTACAAGCCCAGAGGGGAGTTCAGCCAGCACAAGGTTAACAGTTTTATAAGCAGGTCAAGCTCCTCAACAATTAAGACCTTGCAGCACTTTCAATTGTGAAATTAGAAGTTCTGTGAAAGGATTCTGGTTCACTAACAACTGTAGTAGCAACCTCATTTTTCCACTGCAGTACTGACCAGGGCCAACATTTAACATGTTAATCCTCAGGAAAAGCAATTAGTTTTACTCCCATATAAAATGAGAGGCAGCAAAGGAATTCGATCAGATGGAAAATCCACAACCAAAATGCACTTTTCTTTGAATTTCCGAGATCCAGCTACCCCACATAGTTGTTGAAGTCAATTCCCTGGACTCTTAAAAATACTGGACAAGATTCTTGCATTAATGAGCTATATACCCATACATACAAGGCTGTATGACCTCATTTGCTACCTTTACCATCTTCCTCAACACCAAAATAAGTCAATATCTACATTTTCCTTGCCCTCTGCCCCACTTCTGTTCACATCACCTCTCAAAGTGTATATTTTTTTTAATTGAATATTTCATCTCAATTAAAAAAAAAACTGGGGGGGGTGAAACCTATGAAGCCTAACACCTGCAGGAACTTGAAAATGTCAGTAATATTGTAGAGAAATGCCATCCAACAGTACAATGTAGATGTGGCCAAGGCACATTTTTACCATCACAGAAAAAGCATTACAGATACAGAACGTGGATATCACCTTTCCATGGCAAAGTATACTCAAAAAGCCATAGTTGGCAAAAGAAAAACACAAGACCACAAAGCTGATTTTTTTTTATATTTTATTATGAAGCACTGCAATTTAGTTTTCCTTCTCCTGGACGGTCTTTGTTCCACGCAGTCTGCCAGTACGACGGGCAGCGATGAGACCGACCTTACGCCCAGCAGGGGCGTCCCTCCTGATGGTGGAGGGCTTGCCGATGTGCTGATGGTTACCACCACCGAAGGGATGTTCAACAGGCTAAAGGACAGAGAAGGAAATAAGCGTCAACTCCCGGTAACCACAACAGGGCTCACTGTAAACATGTACTCCCTGGAGCTAGAAAACTAACACTTCTTAACCCAATATATCCTCTCAGTATCGATTAATATTTCCTAGTGAACTCTACAATACTGACAACTTTAATACTGGAATATGAAACATCCAAAATAATTGGATTAATGTTAGGGCTCTCCTCTCTGTCAGTATGCGAGGACTCTTGTGATGAAAACAATTTATACGTGCTAACATGTTATTCTATGTTCTAGCAAGCTGGATGCTTGCCAGATTGTTGTTCCAAGTAGGTAATGTAATTTAACTTTTTAGCAACATTGTACTTGTATTCTGAAGGAAGACACCCAGAGATCACCCTTTCCTAAATTCACTAAGACATTTTACCAGCTACTAGCAGCCTAATGAGCTGGACGACCCAGTGTCACCTTTTCCTTTGTAAATAGTTAGCATAGTGTAGATAAGTGAACACTTGTTTTTTCACTAAAACCCTTAAGCAACATTTTGATTAGATCATCCTAAAGAGTTTATATGGGATTTTTATTGTCACCACAGCAAGATACTATTCCAGGAACAGACATTTCTTCAGTCTTCAAAGAAACTCTTAGGAGCACCAAGATCATTTCCCACTCAGCCAGAGAAACTCCATGTTGCAAACAGGGAGTACTTACATTCATAGCCACACCACGGACACGAGGCCAGCAGTTCCTCTTGGCCTTGTACTTGTGGTAGGCACGGCCTGCCTTCAGGATGGGCTTGTCAATACGACCACCACCAGCAACAATACCTGAGAAGCACAGACACATTATATGCATACATGCATAAATACTCTAACACTGGTGAAATACTACATAACATTAACTAAAATACTGAATACATACATCCTGATATATAAAATGTAGTTGCACACAAAGCAGTTTACATTTTAAGGTAGGAGGGTACCTGGGAGTACTCCTCTGCTGATGACCACTGTCTCACCTGTGCTCTTCATTCCCTTTAATACACCTGAAAGCTGGCAGTATTCAAGAACTAGTGAAAAGAAGTTCTGGAGAGTAGACTACCTTTTCTGAAGAGAAGGGGAAATTGCAGGGACCCCAGATGCTAACTGGAATTCCTATCTCTTGGAAAGCTATGGTGCTGTGTGCTGCTGAACATGCTTCTCAAGTCAGCTACCCTACTGAGTGAAGGATGCGTCTACCAGCGTCACGCCTGTACTGCGCTGGCCCCAAACCAGCCATACAACCAGACACCTGATTCTCCATCGTTGACTGGCTGTGGAGAAGCTACACTGACACAGTGGTACTGAAATACAATATTGGATATTGGACAATAACACTGGCACTCTCAATGGTGATTACGTTGCCAACAGCAGGGCAACGTCCCCTGTGGAATGTGCTGCTTGTAAGCACATCAACAGCAACCCAGGCAAGAAAATGAACAGGCGTTCAGTCCGGTCGCGCTGGTCTTACCAACAATAGCTCTGTTGGCCGAGGAGATGACCTTCTTGGATCCGGAGGGAAGCTTCACTCGGGATTTCTTTGTTTCGGGGTTGTGGGAGATGACAGTGGCGTAGTTTCCAGAAGCACGGGCTAGCTTGCCACGGTCACCTGGCTTCTCTTCCAGGCAGCACACAATGGTACCCTCGGGCATGGTGCCCACTGGGAGCACATTCCCAATGTTGAGCTGAGCTGAGAACCGCAGGGAAAGGGCACGTTATTCGAAGCGAACGCTTTGCGGCTGCACCGTTTGAAATGGCGAAATGTGCCGCAGCCCCGCTGGACCTCACCCTTCTTCCCGCAGTAGATGAACTGGCCGGTGTGGATGCCCTCGGCTGCCACAAAGAGCTCCATCCTCTTCTTGAACCGGTAAGGGTCCCGGAAGACCACCTTGGCCAAGGGGGCCCCACGGCCGGGATCATGAATGATATCCTGGGAGAGAAAAGAGAACACACCACTCTGACGAGGCCGCCACCTGCAATCTTGAAGACCCTCCACTACCGAACCTGCATCTCGAGGGCACATGTGCCGACATTAGGCAGCCAACTAATGAAATGAACTGATTGCCTATTTTTTATGGAATCATAAAGCATAATTACTGAAGAACAATCCTTATTCACCCCCATAAGCATTCAGTAGAATACCTGAATACATCCTGACTGTCTTCTAAAAACCATGCAACTACAATACCCTTGCAGGATGCTGTAGGCCTCCAACGCTATTTGAAATGAATTCTGTTTGGCAAGCTGCGAGTCTGCTTGGAAAGAAAAACTTTCACCACTTCTGATATTAAACTTGGACTGCTGGAGTCCTGGAGAAAGTGACCAAGTCTAGCCACATTTGTCTCCCTTAGGACTTGACATTACTTAGAACGCCAATAAACAAACTGTACAAAACAATTTAGCACAACGCTACCTGAACTCTTATCACTAAAACCCCTGAATCCAATGAAATGTTTGAAAACAGGTGGAGGTTTTGTGTACAGGTGGATGCTGTACATTGGTGGTGGTGGAGTCCCCATTACCTGTAAAGCGCTTTGAGTGGATTGTCCAGAAAAGCGCTATATAAGTGTGAGCCATTATTATAATTATTATTATTAAAACCATGGATGGTTCCACAGTGGTAGTGTGACACTAGTCCACTGTGAAATCCATACCTCAGAAGTGAAGTGGGTCCACTGCTATATACATATATAAGGGACCCACTTCATAGATATATTTAAAAATAAAATTCCCATTGGCCCTTACCAGTCATGGCCTCCTAATAATCCCCATCTATGAATTGGCTTTATTACTCTGCTCTCCTCCCCACTGATAGCTGGTGTGTGGTGAGCGTTCTGGCGCACTATGGCTACCGTTGCATCATCCAGGTGGATGCTGCACATTGGTGGTATTATTAAAGTGGCTTGAGATTATCTGAAGCTAGAAAGTGTACAGTTCCTCCCCAAACTCCTCACCTTCACAATCCCCTTGATGTAGCCATGACGCTCAGCAAAGTCAATGGATCGGAGCTTTGCTGCACCCTTCCTGTGCTTGACGTGAGCTTTGAAGACCGACCCAGCACCCTTCCTCTGGCCTCTGATGACGCGACCCATTGTGCCCTGGACGCAGGAAGAAGAGCAACAGAACCGAATGACAAAGATGCCCAAGCTTGACCCGTTTTGCCTTCTAGTGGTTTTCCTTGGTGATCAGAACGGCGGCAGGCCCAGAACACCTGGGACTGTTACTGAGCAAAAAAACACCTTTTGTTTGGCATCGGGATCTATTAGAAAGATTAAAGGTCTACTGCACCTTGGCTGTAAAAGCTGACAGTAACACTGTATAAACAAAGTCACAAAACAATGCACAAGTGAGCAAGAGAGGGCATGATACTGATGCATTTCAAAACAGCCAGATCAGGCCAACATAAAGTCAAAATAAGGTGTTTATGGCAAAACATGAAGGTACAGATGGACCAATATGGACTGCAATCTCTTCTAGCAGTGCTGGTAGGACTGGCTACCATGGGCCCGAATTCAAGGAGGCCTTCCAATCCGCGGAGACCACAACATTCATTGAAAAGAAAAACATTTGCCAGAAATAAAACTCCAGAGTCCAGATTTGATGCGTCTGCAGGCCTGAGGGTTCAGGGCAGGAGATGATCAAGGAGGACAAGCAGAGGTACTGCATGTCAATATGAAATCGTTTAAACTGCATGGGGGCATGGGGGGTTAGGAGGGTCACTTTGAAAGAGTTTATATGATCCCCTATGAAATTCAAAATCTTTATTGCGAACTACGACTTCATAAGGCCACGGCATTTTTGCAGCTCGAGAAACGCACTTTCACTCAATTAAAAGTAGGAGAGCACATGAAACCGCTTGACGCCCATGCTGCAATCCTGAGTAATTAGTTTCATTACTAATTATACAATAATCACTGTTGAGCTCGGGACACGGCTACCGTGAATTTCCACAGAATATTCACGAGGCACTTGTTTCTCAATGATCACCCCACTTTTGTTGCGACTTGATTCACATTCACCCAGTCACAGCATAACCCTAAAGATCCCGGCGTCTGAGATAAAGTGGACTCTTGTCACAAAAAATATTAAAGCTGCAGTGGTGTAAATACGGCCTCTTGTAATGCTTTAATGTAACAGTTAAAACCTATGCCAGACACGCGTCTATTTCCAGACATTTACAGGACAAGCAGACTGTTTCATCGGTTAGGGCCAATACTGAACACATCATACAAAAAAACGTTAAGATACAGCCTTAGGCGCAACTTGCAGTCGTATACCAAATATACAGGTTTTATTAGTAGTATAAACGTAGAAAACTAGAGCGGATGAGTAAAAAATAAAGAGATTTAAGTCGGATTTAATGTGAAGAAAGAGGCCGCCATTCCCTACCTAGACCTGGGTTGTCGACGAAAAGGAAGTCCAAGGCCGGCGCAACGCATTTCTTCCGGGTATATTCGCTCCCGTGGAACAGGATATCATTAAAACGAGCCGAAAATAATTCAAATTAACACAAATCGCAGATATCTGTACTATATAAAATATTTTTAATCAAGAAGTATAAAATACTACAAAGCAAGTAACACGGATATTTTAAGTACTACCTATGCGTAGCATCATGGGATATGTAGTTCACACATCTGCAAGACTGCTGAACTGAGCCTTTCAGACACACACGTTTTAATTATGTTGCGGTAATACATCAACAAAACAATTTTTTAACTGTCGCAGAACATTTGCAGATACAGGATATTTGGAACATATTATGTAGGTCATTAGAAAATATCCGCTTTAAATCAATTAATCACTTTTGTATTCATATTCACATAAATATATTTTACTACTAACGTGAGCCTGCAAATGACAGAAATACGTCAATCGAATTTACATCGTGCGCTTTGTATTGTACTTTATTTAAAATGTGTTTTTCTAGCAAATATCCTCGAATCTGAGTTATCATTCATTTATCTGACTAAAAACGTTAATCGGCAATAGCTATAATGTATCTGAATTGAAAGAGTTTTCAATGTTTTATGAAGAATCGCAATAATGCCAGTTTTCCTCAGATCATATCGATAATGCTGATCATCTGGCTGAAACAGTTAAGAGCTTAGTTGTATGATTTAATTGATGCGTGCAACAAAAAAACAACAAAACAGACTTAAAGATGTGATCAGTAATTATAGGAGTTGATTAAGTTTAGGTTAAAAACATTCAAAACAGTCGCCCTGTCCATAGCCTCTCCAGGATTGGTCTGGCAGTTGATTAGTTAACCTGGCCAGTGTTAGTTTACATTCGGAATGTAAGAAAATGACAAGTTTCTCATTTATGTAAATGAACATAAATACACTAGATAATTTTTCAGACCAAAGTGGATGTTAATCGATTTTGTATCCTGCCCTTATGGTTGTGCGTTATTTAAAAAGTTCTACCGTTTTTTTATACAAAGTGAATTGTATATGCAAGGCTTTTGCACCTTAAGTGCTTCAAAATATGAAACACATCCAGGTGCTGCCGTTCTGTAGATTTTATAAACCATAGTTAAATGGCCAATAAGCAGAGATGTTGAGAGCAACTAATTAAACAACTGACTGATCCAATTAATTCGTTCCGAGCTCTTCCGAAAAAATACTAAGTATGGCTCTTCCGGACCAGAGCTGAAGAAAACTGCCCTAGTCTATTTTGATTAATGGAAAACATAAAGGACTGAGCAAAATTTGCACTGCATTGTGTAATACTTCATCCAAGAAATGAGAGGAGGCAATTTGACCAATCCAGCCTGTCTGGTACTTATTAGTTAATTGATCCAAGGATCTCATCCAGCTGTTTCTTGAAAGATGCTGGGTATTTATGTCAATTACATAAGATAAGATCACTTTATTGGCCATATACAATTGCTTGTATTAGGAATTTGTCCTTTTTCACATAACCCAACTTACTCTCCATGTGACACACATACAGGTAGAGAAGCTTGGTGTCAGAGCATAGGGTCAGCAATTTATATGGCGCCCCTGGAGCAGTTGGGGTTAAGGGCCTTGTTCATGGGCCCAACGGAGTAGGATTCCTTTGCCGGCCGCAGGATACAAACCAGCAACCTTCCAGCCAAAGGAGAAGATCCTTAGCCACAGAGCCACTGCATCATCTGAGTGAGAAGCTTGTTCCATACTCCCACAACTCTTTGTGGAAAGAAACACTTTCTGTTCCCAGTTTTGAATTTAGTTTGAGTTACTAATGTATAACCAAACTGTACAGTATCTTCGAACCTGAGTTGTTTTGCCTTGAACAATTTATATTCTTTAAAAAAATCTCTCACAACAACAGTCATTGTAATACTAATGACAAAAAAGATGAATAATCAGTTTGCTGTACTTTTGTTTTATTTGGACCTGTCCACGACACAAGTGTCTCGTTCCCATCTTGAAGGGAAGCCGAGTAGCACCAGGACAAGCTTGGTCCTGCTGGGATGCGGTCATGTCAGGATGAGCCGGCAGAAACGGAGGTTTTGATCAATGCTGCCCTGTCTGTTAACGTGACCATTAATCACTACACGATTACAGTGGATGTTTTTTTTGGACAGTTTTGTTTTGCTTGTTGGGGATCCACGTCATTGTCTGGGGTCCATGTGCCCGTTCCATCTTTCTGTGTGGGGTTACACACCTGGCTGACCTTGGCAGGAGGAGAAATTAGGGTACTTAACCCCACACTCACGGGGCAGCCAATGAGTATTGTCTTAAACTTTGTGGTATAACCTTGATTGTGTTCTTACACGGCTGGGTTTGAAACTGCTGCTAAGGAGAGTGTAAATGAGGCAGCTTTCTAAGGGTTTGTCGGATTGCAAGAAATCCCAGCGCGGTTGAGTGTAGTTCTGACATAGGTTTATGACAAAAGTCGCTCCAGAGAGCTGAGAGAAGAGACACCATCATCCTTTCCTTCCTTCAGATCTAAAGCTCAGGCATTTCTAGGTGCCTTTTACACCCTAGACAGAGCTTGAAGGCTTCCTTTGTTACCATAAAAGTCATGTGAGGAACAGAGACGTATTTGGAAAGAATGTATATGGAACGTCCAGCAGGGAAAGTAGATAGGTGGTCTCCAGAAGTACTATCACACAACCCTCACAGACTTCTGTACTACTAGACCACATGACAGGCATCCTGCTTTTAAACATGTGTAAAGACCAGGGTTTGACAGGTCTGTATTGCAAATACAAGAGATTCATGACATTAACACACAAGCATTGCATGACAAAAACAAGAAGGGGAAACCAAAAATATTCAGGTATTATAAATATACTCTACACATTAGTTTCCTCTTCAGTTTCTCTCTCAACTGATTTCTACACATATAAAGCGTTGTAGTTCTGGATATTTTCACCTCATGTGAACTGCGTTCATTATCCTGAAATCTCTAGTCTACTACTGCTTGCTTGGATGAATCAACATTCAATAAACTCTTAAAAGGTCACGTAATTTAATTAACAATATAAATGAAGACGACTGAACTAGTGAATAACTACTCAGAGTGTGGTATCAGTGACCTTATCTGTGCCTGAATATCCTGCACCATTCTGTTCGTAACTGAATTATACACCTACAGAAGAGTTCCAGTGAGGTTACACATTTTAATAATGTATGCTCATTCATTTTTAAAAGCCTGCCAAGTCACAGAGAAACAGTTCTGAAATACCTTAACACAGCAGCTGTGAAGCCAGGTCTTGGTACAGGTTCTGTGCTAATTGCTTCCACATTTAATGTGCCACACATGCGTATGACTGACTCGAAGTCTACAGATAAGCTGGTCATGCAAATCATTGCTCAGGTCCCAAGGTTAGCCTTGTCAGGCCTCTCCTGTGCAAGGTGTAGCAGAGTACTAAACTAGGCATCTGACTGTCAATTCAGTGTACAATACTTCAGTTACATCAGCTCCTCATGAACCCATTTGTTTCTATTGCAGATCATTTTCAACATTTTCCTGGGCATCCTAAGTAAACCACCCATGGCCCCATTTACTTTCAGTCTTTGTCCTTTTTAGCTCAGACTTTCCCAGTGTAGGGAAAAAAAAACAACATCTTTGCATGGTTATTGAGCTGCAGCATCTGGCACCAGGGTCAAAATCATGCACAGAACATGCAGTGTAAAGACTACAGTATAATTACTTCTCAACACGTCGTGGCAAGTCAATACTCAAGTCTTGTGAAGATTTATCTGACATCTGTATTGTAATATTTATAGCCTAACACGTTTAATGATTTGTCCAGGCTATTCAAACAGGAAGCTGAATGCTTCAGTTTATGTTAGGGTTAAAATTCTAGAAAAAACATGCATAAGCAAAGATGTATTTACACGCAATACAGAGGTTGCTAAAATATGTCGCGTGCATATATGTCCTGGGTTGGGAGGGTGAAGAGAGAGGCTCTTGTCCCAGCTGGCTGCAGTATGGCCTGTTGTGATGCACTGTTTTTGGACATGTCCATTGTAGCAGCTCCTCAACGACCGATTCTGTACCCAGCGTTCTCACAGCCCCAGGCTATAGGAATACAGCAATAGGAAAGGGCTATAGGCTACGACAGCACTCAACATCTTTAGTCCTGGAGAGCCCCACGCCTGCAGATTTCACTCACCTTACTAAAGCCCTGGAACAATTTAACGCTAATCAACATTAAACAGAAGGTGTGTTCAATGAAGAAATGCGAGAGGTCGTTTGGAACGACAATCAGAATATCTTTCTGCCTTCACGAATCAGTGTTTCCTGCTTTGCAACACTACTTGCCGAATTGAGCAACTGCTTGAATGAGTTATTCCAAATCTTTAAATAACAGGTGATTAGGGTGACCAGTAAGAAAAATAAAGTGGATTGGGACTCTCCAGGATGAAGGTGGGATTTCCCTGGGTAACAAGATTTAGGCCTTGGGGATAAGATTATGGCAGCATCAAATTGTCTTAGTCTTAGTGTGAGAAACTGACCTAATGCCGGTATGCTAGGATGAAAGCTGCTCATCCACAGGATTACCTTTCAAACCAAGATGCTTTAGTTCAATGCAACTCGGTAGATCACATAGAAGGGGGTTGCTATTCACACTGCAAACTGTGGCATTGTCTTGTTAGTTCTATATACCATGTCTATACAGAGAACCAAACTCAGTTACTTTTTGATCAATTCTATTATCAAATGATTATGTTTTCTGCAAGTCAAGAAAAGTTTTTAGTACAAAACCAACACTGCTTTCAGTTCACAGGTTTCAATTGGCTTATTTTGAACGGTGTGTATTGGCCATCAGTAATGATCAAGACCCTTTTGGCCCTGTAACAATTTCATTGTACTTGTAATTTCCAGGAATTACAGTAAATGCAGTCTACTGTGCAAAAAATAAACTACTCTCCAAAAATTGTGTAAAAAGCCCATGTGCTTTTAATAATGAAATTAAAATATACACCTCACCACCAATCATGAAAAGCACACTAGATCAGATCAGTATGATTATCCAATCTGGCATTGAAACGTTCTACTGAAAGTCTATGTAAATTTAACCTCTGAACAGAAAGAAGCTTAATTTGGTGTTCTAGTAATTTTGCGACTCCATCTGTGCACTCTGGGGAAACATTTAGGTTGTTTGAATACAATATTTATGCCAGCCTTTCCCATGGTGAAAGTCTTTGTAAATTAACATTGAACAGGGGAACGAGAATTTACAGAGCCGAGTTTGCCTGGACCTATTTAATGCATCTGCTGTTCAACTTTCATAGAAGTTATTAAACTGACATATATATGGGCAAAGAACAGGATTGTGTTTAATAAAACATCTGCACCTTCCTTTTTGCTTACTTATCCAAGGGCCTATTTGAAAGGTACAAGAACAGCTGTGCTAAAACAGCCTAGACTTCTGACATAAGGTAGAATGGTGCTTTTTCAATACACAGCTCTCTGGTTATCTCTGAAAACAGCAAACTGGATCCACTATATCTTTTTTTGGATGCTGATCTGTGACATTAAAAAACAGATCAGAATATTACAGAAAAAAATCTACCCCCTAGCCGAAAGGCACAAAGCATATGAAACAAGCTTCTTTTTACTAAAATGTTCCTTTCCACGATCAGCCAAAAGAAAACAAGATCCAATGCCATATAACAATTTCCAAACTGAGACTGCATGGCACTTTAAATAAAGATATGCGACAAGCAAGTTCAAAAGAACAATCTTTAATTACCTCTTTCAACGCATCCTTCAAAATGTGGATGGAGTTAACAAAATGTAGGGAGCTTGCGGTTAATACAAAAATGTAATAAAGGTCAATCTTAAAAAAAAAAAGTTTTATAAATCACCTTTGTTGGGTCAGTACTGGTTTACAGGCTAGAGCGTTCAACGTGTTTTCTCGCAACATGAACATCAGAACACGTACACTGTAGTTGAAGTACTGCACCCCCAGGAGAGCATGTGCGCGTCTGTGCCTGGGTGCACAAGCAGCTGAGCTAGTCCAACCACACAGCCTCATGCGGTGACTCAAGAGCCTCCCTCCTGCATTGAAACATCCGCCAGGGCGCCAACAGCAAGGTCTTTCCAGTGGGTGCACACAGGGGAGAGGTGACGGGAGAGAGCAGTGGAAGAGCCCATACTTCAAGTAATAATTCAAATACTATTTATTTTCTTTTTAAAGTATAATTTTACAGTGTGCTGGGAAGTTTTGTTTTTTTTTTTGTACATTGCTCTAAGGCAGATCAAGGGATTTTATTATCCATGCATGTTTCACAAAAGCTTTAGAATAAAAAAAAAACATAAATCAGAAGGCAACCATCTGATTGGAGCACTTAAAAAGTAAAATAAAAACAAAAAAAACACTAAGACCTTACAGGCTAAAAACAATGAACATTTTTGTGTTCCCTGCAGGAAACATTTCCAAGCAAAACTGCCTGTAGTGTACTTCACTTCACAGCTAATGGAGGTGGGGGGAACCAGTCTTTTGTACAAAGCAGTAATCACCTGCTGTCAAACGTTTGGTTCACTGATGCAGTGCCTTCCCTTCTCTGGCCTGCAGAATGCACAGCTCTGGATTGTGTATTCTCCAGGCTTCAACACCAGAGTGGAAAAATGATGCATCTCCATAAGCCACTTGTTTGGTTTTGGCAGACTTTTCAGGCTAACCCATTCACATCCATTCTCTCTTCCCAACGGAATTCTTCTCCTTTCTGTACGTCCTTCCTCTTATGGATCTGCCACTCCCACTCTTCGATAATCCATGATGAAGACTCTTTTTTTCACGTGCACAAAGTATTTACAATTTAACCATAAATAAAATGAGACAGTTACAGTGTCAATATTCCATTTTCTTTATTCTTGCTAAGGGGCGCAATGCTTTTTAGTATATTTCTGTGCACAAAAAAAACCTCACAAAGTGAAAGTTCACATCGCGACTGTAGCTCCAGAATTCAACGTCAGACCATGGCCAAAACAAAAGTCGGCAGAACAGGGCGCGGAACTCTGTACAGTCAATGTCTCCTTTAAAAATAACACAAGGACAAAATGTTCCTCTTAAATCAAATTCTATTTTGTGTGAAATTCAGCAAAATAATTTCTATAAAATAAAACAGCAAAATATTTAAATATAATATGGTGGGCTGTAACTTTTTTCTTTTGCAGGGGTATTTGGTATTTTAGACAAATTCCAAAAAAAATACACACATTCAAGTTACCAATTAAATACAGTATTTGCTGATGCGGATTTTCTTTATGTCCTAATAAAGATGCTTACCTAGCATTCGAGAGAGCTCTAAAAGTTGCAACGTGACTAACCAGCAGTTTTTTTTCACAGAATTACAACCCTGCTTTTTCCTGTTGATTGTGTGGATGCAGAGTTCTAAGACAACGCCTGCTTTCCAGAGGCCTGAACAGGAGAGAAAACCACAGCGAGCTGCCACAGTGCAGGGCACACTCACAACATCATCTTTGTTGACTTCAACCTTCTCTGGGCTGCAGTAGAAGGAAAAGTGTTAGGAGTTAATCTAAAAGTAAGCTCTACCAATGAAACAAAAACAAGCACACCAAATACAGTCTATTATGCTCCAGGCATCCTGGCATAGCAAATTGTTGCATATATAATTTTCTTTAAAATCCATATTATTGAAAACTGAGTTTATAATCCCACCAACTGACTGCCGAATGTTAAATCTGAGGAGTATATGTGCAATTGAAAAGCCACTTAATCTTACATTGGTTCCAAATATAGCCATCAAGGTGTAACAATAAAAAAAGGCTCTTTGCAGAGTAGCTGTCAATTAGGGACTACAGCTGCTGTCATTTTACGATCATACATTTCCCTTCGGCTACACTAATCTGGTGTGAAGCCATGCTAAATGTTACAGCATATTAACTAGAGCTTCAAAATGATTTAACTAATACCAGAATGAAAGAAAGGCAATGAAAGATCTAGAACAATGTTACATCACCACTTTCCACATCAACCAAATATCATAAGGTTATACCAGCCATTTTAATAACCCTGGCAGAAGAGTTAATTTAACATGGCTAACGTGGTTGACATGGAGTCTTTTTTTTTTCCTAAAACAAACTGAATCATACTGCCACAAGGCAGAGAACCCTCACTGCTGAGCACAGGCGATAAAGCAAAAGTATATATATGATTTTTTTTACCATTTTGTTGTTTTCATAGATCTGCTAGTCTCCTACAGCAATACACAGTCTTGCTGAGGAAATTTAACAGTCAAACATAAACATACTATATACACCTTTGCCATTTACACGTTAGCTTCAGGCCAGTTTTATTACACTATACACTTTCCACTGCAGGCGAGTTAGATTTTGACAGCAATACTCTGCAGGGCTGACAGTGAACAGACTCTCCACTCCAGGTAAAATACAAATTAACTCAGAACGTGAAGGACCTGGAGAACAGATGGACTGTAAGGCCTGGTCGTGCACTTGTACCAAGTGTCTTGATGGAGAGAACTGGATGAGAATCAGATGAGAATCTGCAGTTTTTATTCTTTCGTCTGAGCTGGAGAGACTTCTTCGCTGCCTTCCCAGTTTTCTTGTGCTCGTTGGCCTGTACGTTGGGGGTTGTTCATATGCTGTGCTGCTGGGCCCGTGTATGGCTGCCCATGCGTATGATTATTCTGCAAGACAAGAGGAGAGAAGCAGGAACGTGACTCTTGGTTCTTACAGCGACAACACCCCACTTTGCAAGGATTGTGTTTTAAATCACAGCCATTGCTGCCAGAAAACGAGGAAACAAATGTCTGAAAGGCCAGGCTCCAAAGATTTAGTTAAACTTTTGGTATTTCTGGTAGATCTCAAAGTTCTGTGAAGTTAATTAAATCAGGTTCAACCACACACTACGCAAGCCAAGCAAGAAGCAAGCAGTTACGTGAGGGAGAAAAATAAGCATAATGCTAGTGTCAAGTATTCCTTCAACAGGACTTGAACTGTATAGGAAGTAGAATTCAAGTTCCACTTATCTAGGCAGCTGCACTTCAAAAGGGACATACCACTGTTGTGACAACTCTAGAAACTGTACCAGTCTTAATGTAAACTTTGAACCTAAAGCACCCCTTTTGATCAAATACATGTAAATAAATCAAGTGAACAGAATAACCCCTCTATCTCATTCACATTTGCAGTTGTGATTTTTAATAAAGCATCTGTAAGCAATATGATAAGAACATTCAGTAAATGAATGTGGGAGAAATGAACATTGCATAGAAAGCATTAGTGAGCTGGAGGCTTGATGTGTATTCAGTAGGACAAGATATGGGAAGTGGGGAAGATTACTTATCTACTGCTCTGCTGAGAACATCAGCAAATAAAGCAAGATGGATGGGAGAGGGGATGAGGAGGAAATGCAAAAAGCACATTTTAATATAAAAATGGATAAGGCACAGGGGAAAGGCACACTAGTGTTACTGCAATGGCTTATTACCGTGTCTTTTGTTTTTTTGTGAGGGTTTACTGCCAGTGTTTAAGAGACTTTAAACCTTACTAAATATCTGCTGAAAGAAAATGTTGAAACAGATATGATTCATGCATTTAGATAGGGTTTTGAACACAGATTTCACACACTTGCATGTTTTTCATATTCTACCGTGGGCCACAAAACGGCCATTTGGATCTCAGTACTTTACAGTAGCTATGCTGTGTCCTAAATGCTGTTATGCTCCTAAACTAATGCTTACAGAACATACGTTCACAAATGTATTACTACTGCTACACTCCCTAAATTGAGACTTACATAAACGACCTGTGATAAATGTAAAAACTGAAGGTATTTATTAATATAGAATGTAGTCTGATAAATGGAACCTGACATTATGTGTTCCAATAACTTTCCATGAAATATAAGACATAAAACCTCTGAAAATGGCTTACAAGCTCACAATGTGTTTCTTACCTGGCAGACTGCAAAGAGAATGCCAAGCATACCTCCAAAGGCATTAAGAGAAACAAACTCTTGCAGTTCTTCACAGAAATGCAAGCTTGAAAGTACCCTTTTGAAAACTAAACTGCAGGGTGTGGAGTCCGTAGTCTAAAATGCTGTCCTATCTGTAAAAATCTAATAGCAGTAGCTTGCATTCCACTTGGTCAAACTGCCCATTTCAGAAAGCAAAATGACCATGTAAGAAATTCGTTTGACAATAATTCGTGCTTTGTACCAACAACCAAAACCATTTATGATGGACTTTTGATGGAATTTGCTTTTATATCCAAAGCAAATGAAAAAATTCACCAGTCTTTACTTGCTGGCTGCACAAGATTCTTAGATGTTCCTCCCGATACATCCCTACAATTCCCGCAGAGCCAGAAATGATTATAAAACTATTTTATAATGGGCACTACAGAGAATGCAAATACCAAATGTCCACTATGACTGGTTTTAGTGCAGTGCAGCACTGTAGTGGGAGTTACCTGCTGATACTGTGATCCAGGTGAGTGGGGGTAGAGAGAGGCATCTTCAGGAGGGGAGGAGTCATGGTCATCAGGAGCTTCCTGGTCATCTGGCTCCTGCAAAATACAGCTTCATCAATCACAGCAGGGCTGCCAAGCAGCACAGCACACTAACAAAACTGCAGGGATGCCAACAGACAAGCTATATCTCCGATCCAATTAATTAATTCTAGAAATACACATCTCAAAGGTGTGGGACACTCAGAAAACCAAAGAGCACAAACTGTTTTCAGGGTTTTAGAATGTAAGAAATCTCACAGACACAAAGTAACCAATTACAAATCAAATCCACTGCCTGAAAGAAACACTTTTAAAATGGGATAGGAGGCAAAATTCTGATGGACATCTCACCTTTTCACAAGTCTGTAGCTCTCACATAACCAATGTCATTTTCTCTAGAGTTATCTACTAGAGCTCAGCGTGTTTGTCCCCCCTAACCAATAATATAAAAAGAGTTGCCCTTTCTTAAAGAATACAAAATCTTTCCTAAACATACATATAGACTATTTTGTTTCGCAGATTGAACACTTTCAGATGTTTCTACCCTCGTTTAAGTGTCAACTACTTTATGATTTTCACATCACGGCTCGTATCTAGAAACCCTATAACTGCACACTAGGGAGAATGAGGAAGTGCAGACAATCTCCTTCAACACCTTTGAGCTGCGTGCTCTTAATACATCACAGGCAGCACAGTCCTATACTGGAGCTTTGGTGCCAATTGGAAGAGAGAGGTGTCCATCACTGACACCCCTGCATGTCTGAGAGAGCCTGGGAGGCCACAGAGGGCGCTGTATCACTGAAGCCAACTAATCCCTCCTTGCCCTTGGCAGAGTACAGGCAACAGTGCTCGAGTAATTTTGGCCACAGCTGGCAACTGACATCACACGGCTCATACCTGTGAACAGAGTGAACAGAGTTCAGCCTGTACTTGGGTGAGTGTTTGCATTGGTTTTGCACTCAGGAGGTCCCACTTGTAAATTCCTATTCATTAAAACCAAACAAGACTGACAGAAAACAGTAAGTGGATAAAAACCTAGATAACTAAGCTTTTTTCATATGCATCTGATCACAAAAACATGATGTTTGTCCCAAATTACAGTTGACAAACAAGGAACACTTTATACAATGCAAAGAAGCTAAGGACAGGAAGAGGCATGATAATACAGTCTTCATTGTCGATGTCAGTTAACTGAAGAGCAGACAGAGTGGATCAGCAAACTGCTTCTTCTAAAAGATATTTCCAATGGGTTCTTTTAGCCTTTGCAAACAAGCAAATATCTAAACACTGTTTGAAATCCCTAGCAGAGCACAAATTCAATCCACAATCCACTGTAGCATTACACAATGCTAAGAGGACTTTAAAGCAGTTCAGGGTCCAAAGGCATTTGTGCTAGCACAGTCTTGTGTAGATATACCTTTTACTTTCCAATGCTTAACCACTAGAATAGGAAGCTGAAAAAAAGATTACTTCTGCAATTCTACTTTTAGCATGCAATAACTTAAATAGGACTTCACTAATGTCTGAAGTCCAATGCATTTATCATCTTTGCTGGTGAACCTAGCTAAACAAAAAAAAAGCAATTTAAATGCAATACATAGAGGAACTTCCATTCTGAATCAGTAGTGACATTAAGGGACATCTTTGGTTTACTGGTAGCCCAACACACCTGAGTGTTCAGTTTGAAACACTACTCAACAGTCAGATAATATGCTAACTTGACTGTTATGCTGGATTCTCAAAACACAGGGTGCACAGTGCCTTTCAGCAGAAGTTTCCCTGTGCCGTTGGTAAAAAACAAAAGCAGCTATAAAGATAACCTAATTCTAAACAGCAAAGCTTCTATTTATGGTAACCAAATCTGACAGATGGCATCTCTTGCAACTGAACAAATACCATACTCCCAACATGCTTCCCTTACAGTGAATAAAACAAATATTCTAGAAGTAAGAAAAAGGATAATCCTGAACTACAAAAGTACTCGCTACTAAATGAGACTAAAAATAGAATCTGTGTACTGGATGGAGATGACAGCCGCCTAATACAAATCTCAGCCTTTTAAACACTTGGTCTGAAGTTAACATATCCTTGCTGAAATAACAGTCCCACACTTTTAAGTGGAATTGGACAGTTGCTAAGTTCAATGAAAATGATGCAAACTATAGTTACATGACGAGATGAAAAGCATGTTAACACACAAGCTCAGGAGCAAAAATACACTTTATTTCTTTAGCCGCTTAGGACCGCCAGTGAAAAACTTGGTTAAACTGAGCCAAATCTAAATCTCCATTGATATAGGACCGTGACCAAACCTTTTCATTAACATAATACAAAAATGACCAATTTTAAAGTAAAATTTAGCATTAACAAATCCAGTTTTGCTAAAGACTGCTTCAGGCATGTCAGTTTTGATTTAAAAAAATCTAACCAATTAATTTAGTGCCATAACCTGAACTGAAGCTAAGAAATTTTAATAAACCACACATGTAAAAGTTACAGATCCCCTAGCCAGCTCATTATTCTTAGTATATTTTCACAAAATCTACACTATAGTTAAGGCTTGGAGTTTTCGATCATTTATTAAATGTCGGTGCCAAAATTGTAATTTGGAAGAAAAAACTACCACATGGAAAGAACAGATATAACTCAGTTTAGTTTTGGACTGAATTGTACTACTTGGTTCCCTGGAAGAAGACAAAAGTGGCAGCCATGGCAGGGAAACTTGCTGATGGCACACATCTCTTACACTTTGCTGCTGTTGTCCTGCCATTTCCCCTGGCAATAGCTGATGCGGAGAGGTTGACTTCCTTGCCGAGTCATCTTCAGACACCACCTCGTGCTTCGTTAAGTGACACTATTTTGAAATGGCAGTTAATATTGCATATAAAACAAGTGTCAATAAACGATGCAAGTGTGGATGCTTCAGTGTTTGCTTATTAGTCACCATTGATATAGTACATCCAAGCTTTTCATGTTACCACTGTCAGCAAGAAATTAAAACGTCTGAAACACAGCGTGTTCATGTAGTTTGACTGTCTTGCTAGTTCTTCAAATTAAAGAAAAAAAAAATGGACAATTCCAAGCTGTTAATATTTCTGACAAAAGCTGTGCTTTAAACCAAAGTTTTAAAATACATTATATACAGATTACAGATCTTTCCAGATGTCCTTATTTTAGCAGATATGGTGCATTTTTTTTTAAAGCCAGAATACTGGGAAAATCTCGAAAACTCAAAGCCCTCTCTATAGTAAATACTGCAGTAGAACTGTGTGGTCTGTAAGATGGTTTAGTTGTTTAATGGACAGAATGAACAACTGAAGTTTCCAAAACATACATTGCAAAAAAAAAAAGTTCAATGTTGGTCATTGAATTTCTTTTACAAATTACAAGCTGTACTAATAAACTGAAAAGTATGTTAGAATTAAATAACCAAAAAACTAAAAAAAAAGTAAAATTGTGCTGTTTGTTATTAGTAAGAGGATGCATATTTGTTTCAACTGATTATAATGAGATTGTTTTAAAAGTACCTCGCCACTGAAAAGGTTCACTTTGGGTTTTCCATAAAAAAATAATTTAAAAGGAGATACAAATAGAAATATAATTCATTTTATCATTAACATTAATAAAAGTGTTGTTATTGGCATGTAGTCTGGAAGTATATGAATTTCAACAATTCAGATTTTCTACAATACCTTAATTCAAATTCACCTAACAAATTAAATTATCTGACTGTGAACTATAATGTCAACTGGTTTCTGCCTTAAATTAAATGGCTCTGAAAGATTTTATAGCCTTATTCAACTAATCTATCATCAGCTTAGAAGAAAGCATGACAAATGATCAATAAAATTTGGACGCATCCAACTCGAATGTTGGTTTGATAACCTGGTTCTTTAAACTAGGCAGCACATGCAACTTAGGTTACCATTAAAGGTTCAAACTAGGTTCAAATTAAAGGCAAACTCAAATATCTGCACAATTATAGCTAGCATACTTCCAAAATTAATGACCACTAAAAACAAAAATCTAACCAGGCTATATCACTAACAGGGGATTCAGCTCTACAAAACCATCATTACTAAGATGTTGGCTTAACCCAAGAAGAAAATCAAAGTCACTAGAACTTTGCAGCTTTGAAAAACAAAAGTACCTCTTCCGGACAAAGCTCACAAGCTTTCGCTAGCGTCATCCTGGCGCTGTGTGACCTTTCCAAAAAGTAGCCATTGGAGGTCTCGTTGCTCTGCACAGGGGGTGACCAGTTGTTGTAGGTGTACTGGGGGTTTCCTGTGTATGGCCTGCGCTCCAGCTCGTCTCCAAGCCACTCCACTGCCCATGTCCACTTCCTCTTCAAATCGCCATTGCTCTGAAAAAGCACCAATGGAAAAATGAACACACAATCCTCTAGAAGACCTACAGCAAAGAAGGTCAAGGCATGCAGTCCACTAAACCAGGAAACCTGTCTCATGTAACTTACTGATTTAGGAAGCAATTAACAATTTTGAAAAATAAAAAAGGAAAGCAGTAGAAGATCCTGTGATACTTGACTCCTGACACTGCAACAATATAGTTAGTACTTCTTTGTAATAAATATTTCAGAATTATACGAGCATTTTAAAACCAAAGGTTTTTAACACTACCTGCAGAATCTGGTATGCTACAGAACAGTTGCTGAAAAGAGCGACCATGCACTTTATGCACTGGTATGCTCTCTTTTGATAGTGGTTTTTAGACCGCTGAATGGTATCAAAGAGCCCGTCTCTGTCGTCAGGAATGCCCTTTAACACATTGTGAATCCTGAAAAGGCAAAAGACAGAAAAATGTTGCTTTCTTCTGTTCAGATACACACTTTGCACAAAGGTTTATACTTTGTTAACCTCAACCTTTTCTCTGTGCTTATAATGTCAATTCAAAAGCAAGTTTCTTTAGGCATGAATAAATGCTGCCTACATTCAATTCGTCATCTTGTGTACCAAGACTCACCTATGGGTCTGCCAGGAATCTTCTATAAGCAAGATCTGTAGCAGTAGGTCCAAATAAGGCCTTAGCTCGTATGTGTAGGAATATGCCACCTACCAAAAAAAGTATACATTATAGTGTGGATTACTATGGAGTACATCAAACACATACAAAGCCTTTCTTATATATTCACTCCTTTCCTATTTCATTGAATTACCAATGATGCATACATACATTTTTCAAAGTGAATGTATTTAACCAGTACTTGAATGCTCAAAATCAACACATTTATGATTAAAAGACACTAAATGTTAGCAAAACAGCAAAGAAAAATACAAAACTCAAACATGCTGATCACATAAGTATTCCACTCTGCAGTGTCGTTCTGGCTTTGTGCTTCAGGTCCTTGTTGTGCTACAAGGTGAATTTTGATCTCCACTTTAGGTTTTTAATAGACTGAAGTAGGTTTTCATCCACAATTTGTATTGTGCTCCATGCGTTTCTCCTCAGTCTTGACAAGCTTCCCATTCCCTGCTAAAAAGCAGGCTCATAACATAATGCTTCACCCACCATGCTTAACAGTAAAGATGGTGTTAATTGGGGTGGGACTGGGTCAGATGTTACAATTTTCATTAAGACCAAAATGTTCAAAATTTGTGTAGTCTGACTACAAAACCTTTTGTAAATTTTAAAATTCTTTTTGCCACATAAAATGTTCTGTTGCAAACTGCAAGCAGGATAAGAGATTTTTTTCAGTACAAAAAAACAAAAAGGACAGGAGGGACAGCCTGACTTACGCAGAGTCCAGGTGGTATGATACACCGTCTACTTCTTAATGATTAAAATCACCACACTCAAAGGGACTGTCAACGTCTTCGAAAATTTTTAATACCCTTCTCCTGATCTGTCCGACCTGATCTTTGAAAACTTTCGCTTTGAATTTGCTCTCTGAACTTTGCCTGAAATTCACCACCTATCTGAGGAACCTTACAGACACAGGAGTATTCTGAAATCACTTGAGCAACTATAACTACATATTGACCAAGGTCACTCAACTAATTGTGACTTGTCAAGGTAATTTTGTGCCCCTGAACTAATTTGGTTTCCCATGGCATAGGAGATGAATACTTATGCAATCAACTTACTTTATATTTTTCTTTCCACTTTTTGCTGATGTTTTACCCATAAAATTTGATAGTTTGATCAAAAGTTTTGCTTAAAATTATACGTTTCAAACATTACATCAAATAGGAATTCAACAAAATGGGCCATCATTGACAGGACAGGGCCATCATGGACAGGCGTGACAACTTTTGCAAGACGCTAACATTCCTGCTTCCTTGTAAAACTGTGGCAGGGAGTAGAATTTTTTTGTCATTAAACCCTATAAAGAAAACTCCATTTGAAAAATCAAATAAAAAAAACCGTCATCAACCATCTGCTCAGATCCCTCACCTGCCAAAGGAGCTCACTAAGAACAGTGGAGGAAAACTGGGGGTTTTCCCAACAGCTGAAGCGCAGAAGTTTAATGGTCTCTTCAGAGTTGCTGCAGTCTTCAATGATCTTCTTCACGTAACTAGTGCGCACAAACAGAATCTCGGCCACAAGCTGCTGGAGAGGCATGATTGGCTGAGACAGGTTGGGATCTCCAAAGGGATTTGGAAGTGGTGGATTACCTGAGGAAGCAACAGCACATTTTAAAAATAAGGATCACAATCATCAAAAAATATACAAATGAAGATCCACACAAAATCTATTTCTATTTGGCCTAGAGCTAGTAAATAAAGTCTATAGGAAATTAAGTCATTTACAAACAGAGGATAAAACATAACCAAAGCTCAGGCTTTTGAGCATTTAAGTGTCCAGTATCTACAAGATTAAGGATAAGAGAAGTAACCTGTTACTGCAAAAGAGTAGATGGGGGGCTAATTGTAACTAACACCAGTATGACTGAAAAGAAATGCAAATTATCAAAATGTATTTTACTTATGTTTTGTAAGTCTGTATATATTTTAAATACTGTACTATAGGGTCTTGGAGTTTTTGAATTTTTGGGTGATGTTAGAGTATTTTTTATTAAATTATATTGGAAAGGTTATTTTAGTATATAGGAAATTTGATATACACGATTAGTACGATGTGAAGACCATTTTAACATCTTAACTTCTTTTATATATATATATGTACAATAACCAACTAACAAATACATGTTTAAATTATTTGAATGAGCAATGGAAATGGTTTGGGGAATAAATGATATACTGTAGAAAGTTGAAATAAAATAAAATATACTAAAAAGAAGTGCATGGATTAAAAGTTTTTCAATATTCTTGAATCGTTTTCTTTAACTTACCATTTATTGAAGACTGCATGCGCGATGATACATCGCAACAGCGCACCAGCTGTGACACCACTGTATACAGCTTGCCCAGTTCAGCATACTGGTATTTAATGGGAGGACCAGGACCTTCATCTAGAGCTACTAGCATGAATGTTGCAGGCACGCTCAGTTTTAACAACTGCGTCTTCTCTGCCACACCTGCAAATTAGCAAAGATGTCAATTTAGCGCTTATGAGCATGTGCACACAACACAGCTTCCCTCCTTAAAGTGGACATATTAGTCACTTCCTACCTAGATTGGCGTACATGACGAAGAGATTGAAGTACTGCTGCAGGTGACGCCCATGTTCTGACACCTCCCTTCGTAGCAAGTTCAGCACTGCTCTCAGCAAGTGATCACTTAGGCTCAAATTGTCACAGGCCTGGAAGTATTGGAGAAAACTTTATGATTACACCCTTTCTGTACTTTTCAGATATCAATCTCTCTTCACCATGAACAAAAATAAAAAAAGATACAGCTTTAGATATGCAAATATATACTTAATATGATAAACAATGGCAGTCCAGACATTATGATTGCAACTGTTGAAGTGCATTTAAAAGAGAGAATAGGAGATGCATGTTTATCCCAAGAGTTATAGCGGTATGGAACAAGCAACCCAGCCAAGCTGATGAAGCAGATACCCTGGTTTCCCCTGGCTGGTTGAGATCCTTGGATCAATTGGCTACTCACTACCCAATGCCTATAGTGGCCCCCTCACGTTTTTTAACTTGCGTTCAACATCATCGTTATCATATATCATCTGGGGTCTGATGTTATCATGATTAATGCAATATCTTATACTACCAGGTGTCAAAAAAACCTGTTTTATAATTAGGAAACGCTCAACTGTTGCTAAATTAGCAATAAATTACCAATTTCAGATCAGCGAAATCACCTTTAGTCAAAAGTACTGTACTTTGGCTTAGGAAAAAAGCATGATCTCTAAGATACTGTATGTAAATCTCGGATCGCTTGATATACTGTCAAAACCCCACATTACTGCACCTGAGTCGAAGGTCCTGGTGAGGCAGCTGGTGAAGAACATGGTCCATCTTGCAAAGAGAAATGTGCTATAAATACGATGAGTTTAGCAAATGCACCCCTCACTTCTGCACTGGGGCACTCCAGCAGGTACTCCGAGAAGCGGTTTGTATAAGCATAGAGGACATTATGTGCAAACCAGTAGCGTACATTCTTGCTGTGACGAAGCAGGATGCACAATGCATCATACCTGAGAGAGGGAACACAATAAGAAGGCAAATCAGCGTTGAGAGCCTCTAGCAGGAAGGAAATAAATGTGAAATAAATGTTCAAAGACATCAAAATCTTACCAATCACTGGCAGGGCCACGGACTATTTTCTTTGTGTGGAATCCTGTGCTAAACAGGAACCTAGCAGCAAGCTGAATACTAATCATAGCTATTTCTTCTGCCTCAGGCAAAAGATGATCTTGTCCTAATTAAAACCAGAAATAAACTCCATTAAAAAAGGCACATCACATCATTACATCACAACCTACGACAAAAAAAAAAAAACGAGTGGGTACTCTGAAACACAAATAAAAGCATCAAAAAGGAAATTAAACATTTAAGGAAGCATCAGCTTGCACTGATCTACGCAAATGTGTTTGATCTACAGGCGAGTTCTGAAGCAGAATCCATTTTCTGGGTCAAGCTTCCATCTCAAGAGAAAATCTCCACAGCAAGTCCAGATTTCTATCTTTCTACTTGCTTTATTATGAGATGGTAAGATTTAATTAATAAAACACTGACAATCACTTAATTTTTTTGCCAATTTCAAAAGCTTTAAAAATCTGCCTTAGCAGACTGCTAGTCTACAACCACACTGATTATTCATCAGAGGGAGGGATGCAGTTTACAGCGGCAAACAATCCGCACTGCTGCTATATTCTCTTGTAAGTAGTAAGGAGGCAACATCTGCATCAAGCCTCAGTCTTGTATATTACAGAATATTGTCGGGATGAGGTTTACTCTACAGTTTGTCTAAACTACAACAGAAAACAAATGAGACGGAATCTGAAGGAAACTTCATTAGCAAAAACAAAAATACCATCTTTTATTCCAGTTGGCCATGGTTTCCCCCTCTTAAACACAGAAAATGAAGATCTCCAGCTATGACAGAAGAAATCCCAGGCAGTAACAGAATGAGCTTCTCTTTACCGTCATGTTTATGCACCTTAAATGTCTTTCTGATTAAAGGTCTATTGAACAAATCTGAGCTCAGTATCAGTGTTCACCCATAGACACCAAAGGAGTTCTCCTCGGGGCCATTTGATAGGAACAGAGCACAGAGAGGAACACACCAATTACCCTAGTGACTCAAGCCAGAGCTGTGCCTTGCTTCATGTGCCGTCTAAAAAGTTCAAACCAATCAGTGTTTGTTTCCATCAAACTGTCAAGTCAAATCACCCATCTTCCTCGAGGAATGTCACGCTTAACAGGCAGGTCTAAGCATAGAAAGAAGTTCCAAATGTCTGTGAGGGGTTAACTGAAACTGAAAGTCTGGACCCAGGATGTCCCACTCCAGTCCTGAACTACTGCTATCACGGCAGTGTTATTGGCTTAACTGGTACAATATACCAATGGTCCAGATGTTAAGGTTATGCCAACTTAAAGAGATCTGTAAAATCAGCTGGATCCTCCAGGCCTGCTGCTAGGCCACCCCTGTCAAGATTCACACAGATATTTGGCTGACAGAGATTTTATGTTGAGATGATTAGATTAGTTCTGTGGCAAGAATGAGTTATCATCAAAAAGTGAAAAGAACAAATGAAAATGGCATGAACCAGAGCAGCAGGGTCAAAACAAGTTCTTGGGACACTTTGTAAACCAAATTGTGAGGTACTCTTACTATTGATTAAAGCAGAAAAGCACCATCAATTTAGTGCATGAGCACCTTTAATAAAATCATGCTCAAGTGACAAAACGATTGCAGATCCATTCCTGCTTAAGAACATAGGTGGCAATAGCACTCAGAAGGCAATGCAACATGATACATGGACCCTTTTACTGGAATCTGCAGAGCAGCACTGGATAAGTAAGGATATTAAGGAAAACTGAGGATATTCTCAATGGCCTTCCTAAGTCAGTTTATATGAATCCAATCTTGAACAGCAAAGAAAAAACGGTTTAACATACAAGACGAATTTGTGTATATATAACTGGCTCAACAAAAATGGGTTTTAAAACATTTTTCATTGTGTTAACGCTTGCACGAATACATTTATATTTCAGATGATGGGCTTTAATTATCCACCGTTAGACCTAGTGCAGTCAAGTTCCAAAACAACTCAAGTTTCTGATGACAGAACTACATCAAGAAATGAAAAGATGTGAAGTATCACAATTTCCTAGGGTTCAAATTCTCTTGCTTCTTTTCAATGAAAAAGGACACTGCCTATTGAGAAACGCTGCATTTGGTACCATTATCTTCACCTCCACCACTGCCTGCCACAGCATTGTCTGAAGTATATAAAGTGCATCGAATCAAACCACAGATAAGGTAGCTCAATACATACCTGGAGGTGGGTTTAAATAGACACTGTTACAGGTCAGAAGTTTCTTTATAAACTGGAAATATTCCAGGCTGTACTGCATACGGTTGTGCATGAACTGCACATTCTGCTTCCGGACGCTTCGCTCGATAGCGGCTGGCATTTTTATCTGGTGTGGTTTTGTGGTGACAGCCAGCTCAGAAATGTACTTCACAAGTTCACTGTCTTTGTCCAGCGTGTCCATGCGCTCATAAAAAAGAATGTAGGCATTCCACCACCTCTTCTGGCGCCTGTAGGACATGCGTTTCATCATGTGGTCGAAGACCTCCCCCATGTACTCGCCTCCGAAGCACTGGTTCTTCATCTCTTCGTCATCGTCCATTTTGCACTCTGTGACGTCCCCGTCGTCAAATTTGTACCACCGGTTTTTCTCCCCGTCTCCCCCGTTTCTCTGAATGATGTAGGAGTAGTAGTGTCCACCACTGGCCTGACCACTGTGCACAAGAACTCCAACCAGTCTGTATTTAGTGCTCCCTGGGGGCTCATTCTCTGTGGGCTCATTCTGAATGACCTGATTCTCTGGATGGACATCATCTCCTTCGAGCTTGGCTACCCCGGCCACTGTGTATGGCTCCATATCCAGTTCCCGTGGAAACTCAAAGTAATCATTGAATTTGATTGCACATTCCCTTTCCCAGTCATAATCAAATCGCTTCAGCTGGATGGCAAGAACTGGAGGCAGCTTTTTAATGAGCAAGCGCTTCACTGTGTCCACCTGTGAGGCAAAAAACAGAGATTTACAAAACAAAGTACACAGCTGGATTTTACTGCCACCTGTTAAATCAACACCCCAAGTTGCGTTTTATAAAACTGTACAGGTGAATATTTAAACACCACTTCTAAATCCATTGTATATCTAACTCCAGGACAAAAGCTACGACGGATACTGCCATTGGTCTGTTAACAAGGCAAGAAGTGACAATATCCTGCACATCAAGTGCCCACGCATGTCGTACAAATGAGAAACTTCAAAATATTACACATATACAGAGGGTATAGGAGAAAATGAGTCATTTTTTCCTGTTTTGCTTCAATGTGCAAAAAAGCACCTAACTCTCCAATTAAAGCGCACAATAAAGAAACTCAATTCTTCACTTAGTCCCATACAAGCAACGAAGAGTACCAATCACACCACGGTACTGGGGGATTTCAAGAGAGCATATTTATTTGGTACAGGTAAGTGATCTTCACCTTTTTGTTGCACTTTTCGCAGTGATAGGCATTGGCACCCTCTAATAAATCCCCTTTGACATACTGCTCCATTGAATCCAGGAGGTTCTGATGGTTTCTAATATCTACATTCAGTGTTGTAAAGGATTCCTCACATTCATACCTGCAATACATTTAAGCAGCGGTAAATACACAAAAATGTCAGCATCCTATTATTGCTCTGCAAAAAATAAAAATAACGAAACATAACTAATATAGCAATTTGGAAAAAATAGCACAATTCCTCCACCATTGCTCTTTACACAACTTTTCACATACCTGTGAGGACAACCTTGACATATCTTCTGATCAGCAAATGAACCGCCAAGAACTTTGCTTAACATTGCTGGATGGCCAAGAGCTTTCAGAGCTTCATCCAAACTGTCCACCAGAGAGTTAAAGAATTCCAGTGCATCATGCTGCTCTCTCAGGTTCACTGGTTCACCCCACAACCTGCACATACAGACAGAGGCCGTTATCCAGGTCCACAGCTGATACAACACAGCTGATCACGAGTCGCAGTAGAAACAAAAACTAAACATTTACATGCGTCACTTGAAAGGCAAGATTTTCATTTAAGGATTTCTGTAGGTTCAACAGGCAGATGGTATAAGTTTTGAGAGTGGGGTTAGGAGGTCAGAAAGAATAAAAAGTTACCTAAACTGTTTCCAGAACCCTCGAGGCACATAGTACTGCAGCCTAGAGGCAGCCAGATGTCCAAAAATAACCTGCAGATGGCGCAGAACTCCAATATTGTACTCCTTCCGGTCCTCGGACTTACTGAGGGAAGGTTTCTCTTCATACTGGTGGTGGTAGCTGAAAACCTCATCCCGAGGATCTACATTGGTCTGCAAACATAAAAGCCCATAAAGTTGCTACAAAAATAAAAAATACCACCATTATCAAAATATTTTGGTATTAAAAAAATCCATCAAAACATGGACATTCATAGAGTGCAGTTGTACATGTTGTGCCCTCAGCTCCAGGCTATGCCTGCGTGGCATGTGAGCTAGGAGATGGCTATAGTGTCAGTCACTGAATCCTGAGCAAGGATGGGTATCTTCATTGGGCAAAGCATATGCAATCAAATATCAATTTAAGGCCTTTTTTTGTGCCTAAGCACAGCCTGTAGTTTGAAAGTGAAACACTGAAATATATGAACAGTACCTCATTGTCCTGCTTCTCATCTCCAGACATGTCGTCGTCAACGTCACTGCCTGTGCCTTCGATAGCTAGGATGCCGTTTCTGATGGGTGGGATCATGTACAGCTGCTGAATGACCGAGTTCATGTAACACGTGGCTCCTGCGTTTTTCAAACCAACAAAGCCTTTGGGAGGCCGAGGCCCAACAGGTGGCAAATACTCCCATTCTGTAAGTGCTTCACAACCTAGTTCACAGAATGCAACAAAAAGTCATGCCAGGGTTTAGTTACCAAACAATGCAGACCTCAAACAACTTACTACAACAGTCAGATGGTGAACCAGCTTGATTTTTACACAGGAAGCTTAAGTAGCAGTATATACCTGATCAGAAATCAAGCTTAAGGTATAAAATAACCATCTTTACATTTGCTTTTGTTCATATATTAAAGCAGTGAGGATCTGCTTTGTAACCCCAAGAGCTGTCATAATAAAACCATTGCGTGAAAAACAAACACCTCTCAAGCAAAGAAACATGTGGCAAATGTGTGCATACCTAAGTAGTACATGTCAGTTAACGTGTCAACTATCTGTTTCAGATTTCGCACACAACCAACGGCAAGTGCAACCAGCAATTCAAAGCCAGCGTTGATGGTAGCAGGGGTGCTGCAGACTGGAATGGCCTGCTCGGTGGGGAATTCGCCACTCTTCATATATTGCAGGTACACATTGGATGCTGGGAAGATGAAATCATCAATCAGCTCCTAGGAGGGAATGAAAAGGGTTGTTATCAAAAGCAAAAAATGGGGAGCAAGATCCCAAATTCTTAGTTTCATATATATTAATATATATTATATCATATAGGAACAGCACCAAGTAATTTCATACTCTTTTCATACTCTTGTGTGCCAGAACGTTAAGATTAAGTACCTAATATACACATAGGCAGTGCATGTTCTATACCGTATGTTAAATCTTAAAAATAAAACTGATCTTGAGTTAAAGCATAAAAAGGACAAAATAAGAGCTTACAAAAATCAACAATAAATCTCTGGTGACACCTACCTGTTTGCATGTTGAATTTTTGGTTAAAACCAGCATTCTACAAAAGAACACAAAAACTCACCTTAATGAGATTGGCTCCACCCTTCTCACAGCCAATGGAGTACTTCTTTTCTGGAGTCTGAAAAGCCAACAGTTCCTTTGTGACTCCAAGGTGACCCTCGAGAATGGTCTCTTCCACACCCGTCTCTCCTGTTCGTTTCACTTCATCCTGCAATAAAAAAAAGCCATGAGCACATATTGTAAAGGCTTGTAAGAGAGAGAACCTGATAGTTAAAATTGATTTTTGGGGCTTCTCACTGGCTCAACCAGCAAAGGCACATGTTTGGAGGGCAGGATGTTCAGACAACACCCAGGCTATATTCGTATTTAGCTGTATTTAGCTGTAATTAGCATTCCTCTGCATCAGTGCACAATTAGTCGAAGTGGATTGCAGACAGCCAGTGTATCAGCAAACTGTGCAACAGCAACATTAAGATGTGTCAGCTAGCTGGTGCTTGCAACATCACCATCAGTTGCAGGTGACCAGAAACTGAACAGGATTACGTAATAAGGGATTACCTATAGTTATAATGACAGACTTATCTAGCAAATATTCTACAGCCCTGATCATCTGGGTTTCGAAACGTACAGGGCAGTTCCTACATTTTAGATTGTCATAAGATTAAGTAAATGGCCCTGAAAATGCGTCTAGACTGAAAACGCAGGAATCCTATCTCGTTATTAAGTTAACAGCTTCCCTCCTATTTAACCGATTTCTGAGAATCTAAAATGCGTTTAAAGCGGAAATTTAGGAAATCTTTTAACCTGCTGGCACTGAGCACCAGTGCTGACAGCTTAAGATAGTTAATCACACACTGGCAGTAGGAATAATTAAAAGTCAACCAGTTTTAACAAATTGGCAGAAAAGTCTATTACTACTGTGCCATATTATAAGCTAAAGTGAAAACGCTTTTGATGACGTACAACAAAATCCATTCGTCATTACACAACTAGCACTACTACTGTTAATAGTAGTCAATTAAAAAACTTAGACCAGGTCACTTAATTCCCAAAATGAATAAAAGTTTAGAAATATAATAATGCAAGTGGAGGTTGGCATTGCTTCCTCATAGCGCTGGGGCCCTAGGTTGCTATCTGCATTGAGTTTGTGTATCTTCCCCATGTTCACATGGGTTTCCTCTGGGCACTCCAGTTTCCTCCCACAGCTCAAAGACAGGTAGGTTAAACGGCTTCTGGGAAAACTGGCCCTGGTGTGAGTGTGCGCATGTCTGTTTGCATCTGTGTCCCATGCTAGGTGTACCCCGCCTTGCACCCGTTGCTTACTGGGAAAGGTTATGGCTCCCATATCCTGTATTGGATGAAGCAGTTAGAAAACGGATGGATAATGCAACTGCTACTATATTTGGATGGACTCCAAACTGCACCTTTTGTTATTATTGTTATTGTTTATTGTTATTAAACCCCCTTTGATGAGCTAAACAGCTTGCAGTAAATGTGAAATAAATGATTTGGCATGTTTTGTTTATATCTTCATGGCTTCTGGGGTGGATTTTTCATGTCTACCAGCTACCTTGAGAGAAAGATTTTTTACCCCCTTAGAGCACTTCCACTCATACTTTCATCATTATCCAAAAAGACATAGAATTCTTTCCTGGTCTGTCCCTGTTTCTTCACTTGTTCAATCCATGCTACAAATGTAATGAAAAAAGATGTTGTGGTTGCACTATAGGCAGTGATAGTCTTTTGTCTTTCTTGGACAAAGACTAACACAGAATAACAGGTTTTTTTTGCGTCTGGGGTTTCAGCTTTTGACAGTGGCGCTGTGATGGCAAGGCAACATCACTCCCAGCTTTAAGTGAGCAATTGTGTAAATCAGAGCAAAGAACTCAGATTTAGGAGAGACTACAGGCACCACAGATGGGGAACCAACGGTTCCAGGAATATCTACACCGAGCCGTGTAAAACGCTATTAGAACTCTTAGGTACAAACACTCTTAAAATGTTGTTGATGTCTCCCAACAGCATGTAACACTAAAAGCAAAAAAGAACATAGGGCTATTATTGTAATAAACAGACATTAAAAAACTTCAAGGACAGTCTAACATATGAAGATGAATAAAATATTTACTCAAGGCAAAGCAAGAACTTAAGAAGCCATAAGTTAACCTACCCTGATCCTTTTTAACCAGTCAATTTCATTGTTGAGAAGAACTTCAGCATTTGGCAGGTTAATGTTGCTGTTGTATGCATAATTTAGTAAGTGCCTTAACAAAGTGAAGTAATCCCCTGCGTGCTTTGGTCTTTCTCTTGCAGTGCTCTAGGAAAAAAAAAGAAAACCATTTTGCTAATATCCAGTGAACAATAAATCAGTTACTCATGATCATTTTTAGTACGGGAATTTGTTTTGCATCTCAACAGCAAAAAAACGCCATTCCTGAAACATTTAAAGCAAATTCACAGGATGGATTATATGCCACTTAATATCTAGTTTTAATTAGACAGGAGATGAAAATGGAAAAAGTTCAATTTAATGCATATTCTACCATTAAAATCTGAACATAAAACATTTAACAAACGTTTCGTCTTCGTTAAATGTATAATATATAGAGTAGGCTTACTCCCAAAACTGTGAACAGCAAGGTTATAAAGAACAGAAGGGGCCTGTGTCCCATGCAACACCGCGTAGCCATCAGAAAGAACTGCTCCTGAGCCATCTGACGAACTGACCTGGGAAGTTGCAAAAACAAATTCAATAACGACGGGTTAATTTCAGTCTCGTAAAACAGCCATAAACTGCACGGAAAGGTACTGACAAGTGTGGCAAAATCTCAATAGATGACAAACTTCTGAAGTATTACATTAACAAATGTTCTGCTGCAAAGTTTTAGTAAGAGGATCGTTTAAGAAAATGGTGCCATTTCATATTGTGCATGAGCATCAAGGCAATGCCATTCTAACTTACTTGCTCTGACAGTGCAAAAGCAAATCAATGATGAAGGTCTGCCATGCCTTTTCTTTACTAAGTGCATCTAGTGCTGTGGGGATCAAGGCAAAACAGAGTGTCATCACTTCCAGTGCTTCACAGCACACCTGCTCATCTTCTGCATCTGGTTCATTTCCTGCATTCGTCTGCAAAAAAGGATAAGAAGTTTTACCTTAGAGCTTTTTGAACTCAAACAAAATAGCACATTTTTAATGATGAATTTCTTCTTGCATCTCATAAGCTAGAGGTTAAATAAATTACGATGTCACTTTTCCAGTTAAAACAGCCATTCTGACTTACAAATTGTAATAAAAATGGCAACACAAATACCAATTTTAGACTCGTATCAACCTACCTTTTCATAAATCTTGCTGATTTCTTCATTTGAGCTGAACACAAGCTGCACTGAACCACAACCTGATGCCCAAACTATTTTCTGTACAGCCCTTATTACACAGATGTCTGGGATATATTTGGAGGCCTGAAAAAAATTCTGTATGTAGAACAAAACAAAGGACAACAAAATTAAAATATTAAAAGTACACTTTTTAATTTTGATACATTGTAGCATGCACTTGTGAAAATCAAATTTAATGTTTTAGCCGCCTATGTTTTAACTTGAAGTAAGGTAATACAAAACTCCAGCACATCATGCTAAGACAAAAAGAGGCAACAGCAATACATCTTTTTTTGTATTCTTGTTGAATACAAGAATACTGTTTTTCTGGAAAATGATTTTTTCCCTTTTCTGAACATGGCCTTTCCAAAATAAAACGAGGGAAGCATTTAAATATTACAAATATAAACAATACAAAATCCAGAGAGATATTGTAGTTTTAGAACTAAGCACAACTTTGCTATGTTGTTTCCAACGTTCACACTTAAAACCACAACATTTTTATTCTAGGTGCGAATTACTTTGGCCAGGAGCATAAATATAAGCACATCATTTATGATACAAGACATAAAGATGCCGGCAGTTTAAAGCCTAAACAGCTAAAGGAAAAAAGAGAAGGCCGTTATCTGTGGATTGTTATGGTACACTAACTGTCAACTGAAATGTCAAGTGATAGCCAACACATGACAGCCAGTAGGGCATGTTTCCTGTTTTCATAGAACACACATTTCTTTAACAGATGCTCTCACATACCTGTACCCCTCCCAACTGAGAGGAAACTACACCAACCTCATCTGAGATCTGCTGGGCAAGGCGAATTGCTACATTTCGCAGCATGCATTCGGATGATGGATTGGGAATGTTTTGCAGAGCATTTTGAAGAACTAAAGCCTGGTCGTGCGTAGCCTGGTTTATCTGGAAATTAAAAGGGAAGGGATGTCACTGCCAAATGGAGGAAATCAACCTGGAAATCTACAGACATCCCTGTTAAAACACTTTTCATGTATCCTTGAAACTCAAAATTGCTTATAAAAACTTTACGGACAAACAGTTGGTGGCATAAACTTTCCCCCAGAAATCATTCCCCCTTGACATTTCTAGTAAGCATCTCTACATACACAAGCACACATGAAACAGGCCCTCAACAGTACCACAATTAAAGGGTGAAAGATCAGAGGCTTGCACATAGAATTAAGTCCATAGCTGTGATGCTTGCATCATGAAGCCACTACCAGGACACTTCACAGGGCTTACGGTAGATGCATAACATCCTAGAGAAGACCCATTCTGTATTGTAAATGGAGAAACGTGTGAAACTGATGATCTGGGCTCTGTTGCACCAAGTCATCCACCACTTACTACAGCTGTTCACTGTTGCCCATAAAATGTCTGTAGAATTCCAACTAGAAATCCTCCAATTTAAATATACGCAGACGTAAAAATAATTTGCTCATATAATAACCATCCACACAGACAGCAAAATAGTGCTCCATCCACTTCTGTGAAATTCCCAACATCATCATAAAAGTGACTTACTGGTGAAACAGGGCTTGTCCCTTCCACACCTGGCTGACAAGCTTCTGCCACTGCCTTCACGTGGCCAAAGCCGACGGCTGTCAGTAATAACTTGGCTATTTTTAGAGCGTTTAGATAGGCACCCCGCCTCGTCTCCATGTCCGCATTTGGCAGGAAGTTATTTCTTGTGAGCATGCTCAAAACGAGAGGCAAGCCACCGCTTTTTAAGAAGTTGTACTGGAAGTCACTCGCATCTTCTCCAAGGGTTCCACTGGCAGGCATTAACAAGGCATACACTACCTGTATCCGAAACAGAACGCAGGTCATTAAACTACCGCAGTGACTGCTTGAAATCACGAACAAAACAGTACACAACGCCAGCAAATTGATGCTCATTATCACATTCGTAAGTGACCAGTAAAAAGGTTGCAAACTACTTCAGGATTTTTAAAGCCAGAAATATTTTTTTAAAAAGACTATGCAGGTATTCGGATTGACATTATTTCCCAAAAGTGATATTCACTAACCTCTGTCAGGTACAGCACTTGAGAAGGAGATGGGCCAAAGAACAGCGAGTCTAGGGTTGGGCTAAGGCTGTTCTCACCAAGCTTTGCATGATCTAAGCAGATGGCTCGCAGCTTTTCTACTGTAGTGTTATCTGTAAAAAAAACAACAACAAATCAAACATTCAACAAAATACCCTACAATACACAACAAGGGATATCTAAATTAGTTTAAAATAGAGTGTATTTATTTTAGTCATAATACAGTAGGAATTACATAGGGAATCATAAAAAAGATCAGGTCATTTATCCCACGCCACGTTTAGGTTTTTCATATTTGAACATTTGACTTATTAAAATGTGATTCTCTTTAAAGAATAGATCGGTTGCTCTCTAAAATCAGAACAAAGACCATAAAAAAACATAAAAAGTTCGAATTTCCTAATTTTGTATTTTTAGGTTTAAATCCAAATTTCTACTTGCTTTAAATCTGTATAGAATAACGGATAAGCACCGTACTGAACCTAACAACCATAATCTGGACTAAAATGTGAAAGACGAAAAACACGATATGAAAACGTGTACTTCGATTTTTACGAACCTGGAGGCATGAGCTTCATGAGGACACGGGCACCATCTCTTAAAAGAGGCATGTTTAAACTGCAGCCAAGGTCGGCCACTTGCCACAGGAAAGAGACGTAGCGGATATGCAGTGACATGATCTAGACAGAGTAAAGAACAGGCATGGAAACTAATACACCCTTTAAGGCTTTTTTCAGAGAACAGAAGTTCCATTGAATCGCTTTTAAACTAACGCTTTGTTGCCACGGTGTGAACAAAATTCAATTCTGGGATCAGTGGAACATAAGAACATGAAGGCTGTCAGTGCCTTTTTGGTAGTTTATCAGCTGAGCAATTAGACTCATTATCCAAATTTAAAATTTGCCCAGTCACAACTTGAAGGAACGTAGAGTTGGACTTAATGGGAATTGATGTACAATAACTATGTTTCCAAGGTGTTCTGTAACATTTGCTGTACTGCAGTTAAAAAGTTTTCAGGACTCATTGTGAAAAATCCTTTTTAGATGATTAAAAGCTGGGCATTATCAAAATTATACATAAAGGTATTTTGTTTTTTCTGAAAGGGGCTTTTCTTTCCAAATGCACACTATGGAAAAAAATGTGTATGGCTTCAGGGATTTTATCACCATAGAATAACATGCGCACAAAAGTGTGTAATAGACTGCATGATGCTGTGAAACTTTTACTTTCCAAAATGCTTTAGTACCACATGCCAAAATGCTTTAGTACCGAAAACCAAGGCCCTTACCACTCCTGGAAGACAACCTTCTACTTCAGGGTTGGGCCCGTCGCTATAGTGGTTACCATGGTTCCCTGGAGACCCGGTGGATGAATCAGAGGAGCTGTCAGGACTTGAAGGCATGTTGGAACTGACCTGCGTGAGCTTGGCCGTGATTAACTAGAGGGGGCAAAGAAACTGCATCTGAATGACATGCGGAGGAAGCAAATGCTTCTAAAAATTCATCTGCCAACATTCTTAATAAAAATGTAGTCAGCAATTTTACAAAGATTAATTTAGACCATGTATTAATTCAGTATCTAAAGAAACCGTACCGTTTTGTCTTTGAGGTTAAGCTGCCCAATTAACTTCCTATCATCAGCAGGATCGACAACCTCTCCTCCGATAAAAAGCTCTACTTTCGTGTGGGTACTGTTGGCCTTTATTCGCGTTAAGATGCACCTCCGTACGGATCCAATGGTATCGTTGGTGTGAGACCAAATATCCAGGTCATCCACCTGCCGGCCTTGGTTTGGGAAGCGTACGATGAGTGTGATGTGTTTGCCACGAAAAGCTCTGCAAGAAACACAAAAGACAAAAAAAATAATTACGTTTAAAAACAACACTCACAAAAGAGATTCCACGAACAAAAACGAACTGTGAAAGAAGGATGTTTCTAGTGCAGTAAAGACAAAGCGCAGCCAATATCAGTATCTTTGAGTGTCAGTCTTGCGTTATACCAATAGCTCATGTATGGCAACTACAAAATGCCAGAGCCAGAAATTAACCACGTTAAAAAAGTTAATTTTTGACGATTTAAAGGATGAATAGTAGATTTCTTATAGTACAATCACATAAAAAAAAACTCACTTACAAACTTTACAGAAAGGATGATCTTGCATACATATATCATACCTCGACATTGGCAATATCGTTCTTTCCTCATGGTAGTCGCTGTCACACTCATTGATGTATTCTTTCAAGACCGTCAGCACTCTCACCATCCTAATTGCTTCTTGCCTTGCACAGTTAATACTGTCTTTGTCACCATCCAGTACACAGAGTGTGTCATAGGAGGCTTTCAGCCGGTCAAAACAAGACTGGACAAAGTCTTCATGAATCTCTACCTACAGAACAAAATCAGAAAAAAAATCATAAATAATAAAATGCTCTCTACAGTACAATCTGTAAGTAATTAGAAAGCTATATAGTCAGAAGAAAATAGTTATACAAAAACACTCTGGCTGCTACCAGCCCTTGCTACTGGAAAAATGATCCTGATAAGTTTTACAATGATCAAAAAAATGAAATTACCATATAAAATAAGTCAGCACTTCTGTTAATTAATGCAGTATTTACATGGGCATGTAAGATGTTTCACTTGCGTGTGGTTTAAAATGATACTTAGGAATAAGAAGGGAAAGGTTTACCCATTTCTCAAAACTTCTTACACAAAGTTTGCAATTAATCAAAAATGTACTTTACTTGGGCCTAAGAAAGTCACTTTCCTTACTGAGTACAGACAATACCCTTTACAGCTTTGGAATGCTTAGATCTGGGAAATAAAACTGAAAAAATGCAAGTGAAGATATATACAACCTTACAGTTGTATCAAGGAGTAATAAAATAACTGTGAGAACACTGATGAATGCAACCATAATCAAGCAAAAAAGGGAAATGTTTTTATTTACCTGATTGACTTGTAATTTTGGTCCAAGATTTGTATAAATCTCTTTAAGCAAATCTATTGCTCTGTTGGCAATGTCATCACTTCCCTGAATCACAACCTGTTAAAATAAAAATCTAAAATCAAATCACAAAATCTTTCCTCAATACTAGTGTGAAGAGATTTTCCTTAAACCTAATCAGTGCCCACTGACTTGTCTACCAAGGAAGATCTAACCATTTTATTCAATAAAAAGCTCCACCATGAAAGGTAAACGGGGGCTGTGGGCCATAAGTATAAGCCTCTTTTATACTTTTAAACTAACAGAACCAGGAACAGGGGTGGTTTTTAAAACAAGCCTTTAAAAAGAAAACATCAGACAAAAAAACAACTGTACATATCTATAATCTCCTTGTTTTTCTTTCAGTATTTTGATTTTTTAAATTTGACTACACATCTTAAGACACAAGCTCATGGGTAAGAGACTCTTGCAGGAAGAACACTTGTCATTTCACAGCTCTGCTACTCTGACTTCACACAGGACCCTGAACTATGTGGCAGAGATTGTGCCAGTGCACTAGGGGGAGAGGGGACCTACGGGGTTGTACCCCTCTGAAACTGAAACCACTGCAGACTGAGGCTGTCAGTGGACCTTTAAGCTCCACCGTTTCTGATCCAGATTCACAGACCTGCAGATAGTACATGACTCAGAGGTCCCACAAGCGCTTCTACGTCAATGAGGGAGCAATGCTGATAGCACAGCTGAGCAGCAGATTAAAAATGGGAAAACTAAAGGGGAGAAATAATTTGAGACTTTCTTCATTAAATAAAAAACACTGACAATGCAAGGCAATGCACACAGTCAAGCTGACTTCTGAGGAGAAGGAAAACATCAAATGCTCTGACTCCAAAGACACTGCTGCATAAAGATGAGACTAAAGAATAGGAGGGCAATGGCTGATTTTCATTGAATAATGAAAACAGCACCTTTTATTTCTGGAAGCCTTGTATTGCTACCTTGGGTGGGTCTGAAACTTTAATGGCTATAAAAGAATCCATGTACTGCACATAAGATTTTAGAAAATTGAAGGCAAATAACTTTTCTAAAGTAGGTAAAACGATTATTAGTAACAAGGCTTTCTTTTTAAAACAAATTCTTTAAACTGAACACAGACTTATACACAATTTTTTAGATGTAATTGAACACAGATTCAGTTTTATCTGTCCAGAAACTTTTTTTGCTAGAATACAAATCAGTAGCAACACCCGTATTTACCAATTTAAAAAATTGCATTTTTTGTATATCATTGAGGACAGTCCTATGATCATATACACGTCTGCATAACTATCAGTAGACTCTATTTAACTTCATGTGCTGTTTAGTAAGGCTCTTACCCTCCATAGGTAATCCAATCCTATGAGTTCCAGGTCATCCATCATGTAGGCTCTTCGTTTGGCCACCAGTTTTCCTTCCCTACAGTTTACAGCTTTGAAAAAACGTTCAAAGCACTTCATCCCGTTTTCTGTGAGGAGTGAAGGATCCAGCTGCAGCACGTTGTTTTCAAAGAAGTCCTTGTTGATATCGGGGTCCAGGTCTGGCTCATCTCCCATGAGTTTGGAATACCATTTGAAGCAGGCCTCCCTGTCGCAGAGGAACACCGCATTCTCAGCGAGACACTTCCAGATCTGTTTTGCTTGCGGAGCGCACAACCACAGCTGTCCGTCTTTTAGCAAAAACCTTTAGAAAAAAAACATGAAAGACCAAGTTTTTTTTAGCAAAACGTTGAAAGCAAACATGTGACAGAAGGATTCCAAAGAAAACTCTTGGCATGAAGTGTCACTACAATGAAAGCCAACCCTCCTACCTCAAGAAGTTAAGCCTTTCCTGGACTTCTTGCACATGGCTGTATCGACTGCCAGCCCGTACTGTCTGTGGATCGTATTCCAAGTGCTCTGGAAATGATACTTTCATGTCAGTGCAACTTAAAACAGCCAAAATCTTTTAAGCTTTTTGAAGATTCCAGCTCTTCAAAAATGTCCTTTACTGCTATGGCTTTTGAAAGCGTTTAAAATATTAACAGCCATCACTTGATAAAAGACCCAAGGCAAGTGAAAACCGACAAGTAACCATCTACAGTATAAGTGAGATACAGTCTACATGTGAGCTACATAATGCTGGAATAAAGGACATACTGAATTTCACCACTCAGCCACAGCTTCCCAGATATAAGCCATTTTAACCAAAAATAATTTTCTCTCACTATATTGTGATGTGCACTACTGAACTCAAATACCATTTTGCATTATATGCGTCACGAGCAGAATAAGAACTTGACCAAGGCTGTTATCTGTTCACAGTGACCGTAAATCTGGCATATCTGGTTCCAAAAATATTTGGTTCCATTTCAATGAAAATAAAAACTATATCATATTCAGATAAAATGTCCCTCATTTTCAACAAGAAGGTCCCTTTTTTCAGAGTGTTCCTTTAGAACAAACTGTAGTTACAAGTTTAGTTAAAAAATACATTTTCAGCAGTTTCTGGAGATTTGGATACCTGACGGTTGCTGTAGCTCTTTAGAGCATAATATCTCCTGCCAGATAGTTTGGCCTCTCTCCAATTTTGAAACAGATGTCTTAAGTACACTTTATACCTGAACTAGGGTAGTGATTACACGATACACCTTTCTTTGAAATTTTAAAATAATTCAGGTCATCAATAATTGACATGACATACTGCAATCTGCTCCATAATCACTTTTTAATGTAATCTGATTAATATGGAGAATTTAACAAATCAGTTTTGTTACCTTTGGCAAACTGCCTCATGCTTTCCATGTATGCAGATAGGTTTTCTGCCACCAAAGTCACAAGAGCATGGTTATGTTGAAGCTGGTTTATTAGATCGTGGCGATAAAACACGTGTGGGCTCCGCTGCGTCTGACTGTTACCGAAAGAAAAAAAAAAAGACTTTTTAACCAGAAATGTTTAACATTACAATTTAAATTTGAATGTTTCACTTACGAAGGATCTAAGGCAATCTTTAATAAAATTCAACTGATTTCACGAACATGAATTTGCAATTGACATTTTCATTCGCCACTTAGGCATCACACAGAGCTGGCTGCTGAGTGCTACTGAAGGTTTTCTAAAATGACAGCTATGGCAACATTTTTTCCCATTAAAGAGCTTGAGGTAAATGTAATCTAAGAAACTCATCCAGTTCACATCTTTGAAGTTATATACTGTTTAAGAGCTCAAGAGAAGTTTTTACACCGTTGTCTTTTAACAGTTTTCAAATTTAAAAATATAAGCCCTACTTTAAACAGAATTACTGCCATCTGATTTAATCACTGCTTGCAGGACTCAGTCTATATGCAACACAAATGAACAGATAAACAATTTAATCAAGAAAGATAGTGTACTAAGCCTACAACAAGAAAGTGAAATTCAGGTGCTCATCGCTCAATTCAAGACTGGTGTGAAGAAAACTGAAAAGGAACAGCATCCCCAGGATTTGGTTAAAAGTTGGAACCATATTAAAAATGATTTGTGAGTTCTGGAATGGACATAGAAAAGGGGGAGACTCCTAGCAAAGCAATTAAAAAATGCCTGTTAAAATCACATCATTTAAATCATTATTTTCTGCAGAATTTAATCAGATTTGTCAGAACTGAAGAAATGACAATAAACCAAAATCGTGGCCAACTTACCCTAAGTTCTTTTCTATGTTAATATGTTTTTTCTTTCTGAAAAACAACAGGCATTTTCTGTACTTCAGCTACATTAACACTTACTCTAGATTAAAACAACTATTTAAATATCTTAAGTCTAAATCTTATAAGTCTAAATCTATGGATCAATACAAATATGAATTTCCCAGTCAGTTTTCACATTTCCTATCCTGTGCTAGTTTTCCAAAATAATGTCTTAGGGTATAATTGTGTTTGGTTTATGAATAGGACAATGCAATGCATCCATTTTAAGAAAAACTATAAAACCATGTCACCATTAAGACTTCGGTGGAATACTAAGTGTTGCATCTGCTCTGGCTTTTATCTGTCAGACAGTGCAGCACTGAAATGACCCCAAGCCAAAAAATACTGAATTCCCCCTTTGACATTTAAAAAAAAAATGTAATACCACAATTTTGATATGCTTTTTACAATAACCAGGACAGGAGAATACTAGGGATTTCTGTTGTGGCTGCATATTGAAACTATCTGTAACACTGATAAGCAGAAAAAGGTGGCTGTTAAGCTACTTTTAGAAGGCAAAAAAGCAAAAGCATATGTTCGCTTGAAAAATTCAACTAAATTCTCTGCTTTTAAGGCAGTGTTCCTTATCCGGCTTAAAATATAAAATTTCAATGCTAAGTGTCAAAAAATGTATTAACAGAAACAAAGCTAACTTTATGTAATAAAACATTTACAACTCTAATAATGGAAAGCTAACCCATACAAGTCAGTTTACATTCTATTCAACCTTAAAAATGTGAAAAAGTAATATTAAAAAAATAATAACACTAGTCAACCTGTGATGAATTTCTACAACAAAATCTGCAGGTCTTGTTTGGAAAGGAACGCCAACAGAAAAAAGCTTTGCAAAAGTTAATCAGACAGATTTCTGAGATTGTCAATACAGATAATCTGTGCATAACGAGCAAGATCTACAAATTTCAGCTTTGATCGGTACAGGTGCAGAGGAAACTATCAGCGACATGAACAATATTAAAACACTCCTGCCAAGTGTGGTTTTTCAAGTGTTACTTTATTTCAGCATTCCATGCTTTCTAAAAAAAAAGCTCAAGGCGCATGACCTATATAATGTGCTGCCATCTTAGATTGAGGGCCGGTTCAAAGGGGAGATATCTACGTTAAAGTTTTAACATAAAATAATCACCTTACAGCAGTTCCTATCAACTAAGGATGAGAGTTAGCAGAACACAGGCAGAAGATGGTTAAGAGACATCTAGCAATGCAAGAAGCAGTGGTAAGCAAGAGCAGTTTTCATTCCTTGTAAATAAGCTAAAAATATTTTACTCACCCGAAAATGTCATACTCACATGATTTTAAAAATACAGGACATAGGATTGCACCATGTTTTGCAGAAGGTGCACACACTTTTACCATAATGTATGGAAAACATCTTTTCCACAGACATGACATCTCCACAAATAAAATTAACAACTCAATTTATTACCTTAAATTCTGGGGCGCTTCCCCAAACAAGCTACAAATTTCTCTGATTTGCTTCAGTGCAGGAATGACCCATTTGTCATTGGTTCGCAGCTCTTCAATGAATCGATCTATCCACTGGATCTTCTGTGTGTCTCGGTCCTGAAGAGATTCCCAATGCATTTGCATTTAAACAGTCATTTAACTGTTCAACAGGTAGCATTAAATAACAATTTCTAATCTTAGGGCTTAAAACATTTCAAATGTTTTCATTGACATTGAAAAAGTACCACTGTATGCAACCAGTGGAGCACCAGCAATACAGAAAGCCCCGTCCTATAAATGGAACAGTTGTATATAATAATTCCTCACTTTTATAGTGCCCATTCCACTTAAACAGCAATATACAAGTAATGGGGACTCACTTTCACTAATGAGTTTTAACAACCACAGAGAGTCAGGACTTCTGTTTTACGTCTCATCCAAAGGACGGCACCTTTTTGACAGTATAGTGTCCCCGTCACCATTACTGGGGCATTAGGACCCACTTAGTGGAGTGACTGCCCCCTACCAGTCCCGCTAACACCTCTTCCAGCAGCAACCTTAGCTTTCCCAGGAGGTCTCCCCTCCAGGTACTGGCCAGGCTCACACCTGCTGAGCTTTAGGGTGATGAAGCTGCTGGCTATACACTAAAAACATGTTCTAACACCATTTTAGTTCTTTTAAAATTACATAATTATAATTTCAGACTTAAGACAGATAATTGTCCTTAGATCATTTCTGTCTTAAAAGGTGAAAAGGTTAAATGTACTAACAAAAGGTGGTCTTGTTGTCACAAAACGTAATAAAATATTACAATTACCTGAGAACAGCTATAATCTAGGATTTTAATGTGGGCGCTCAGAGCCTGGTCCATGATGTCAACGGGTACATCATCGCTATGTGCCAAATTCCACAGGAGGTTCAACACCTTGTGGGCCATGACCCCATCTTTGTCATCCTCAGCAAGGCGACGAATCAGCTCCAACAGCTTCTCCCGCTGCTTTTTACTCGCATTTGTCCAACTTGCCTTTAATAGAAAAAGCAAACGTATACCTTAATATACAGCACTGGCTTTAATCCTCTCAGTGGTAAGTGATTTTGAGGCGACTAGGCTGTTAAAAAAAAACATCTACATGTGGCTTTACATTCTTGAACAACTTGAAACACCTCACCTTGAAACAATCAAAGAGATGGTCGAGCTGCTCAGGCGAAAAATCCCAAGCCAGCTTTGCAAGGAGGTCATGGACGTTCTTGACAATAGCTTCATGCTTTCCTGCCTATGGAAGGATGACAAGGTGCAGCAAGGTTAGAACAAAGAACTTTCATTTCCATGATAAGTGGAGATTTTACGGAAATAGAACATTTATCTATTCTGCTCCTATTACAGATCGAAAGGAAATTCTAAACATCCCACTCAGCTCAAATGGGTACCCAGCTCACCGATCATAAAAATATTAAAATTGAGGTAAATGTGCGGTAAGCTTAATTTTATGACCAAGTCTGAAGACGTTCTGAAGAAAGCATCTCATGAGAGAAATATTAAGCAGAAGATTAGTGTGAACCATGGATGACATGTACTTTATTTAAAGGTGCTGAGTATAATATTCAATGACCATCAAATGGCCAAGAATGCTGTTGGTGAAATATGTTCAATCAAAACTTCAATCCCATGGTTGACATTAAGAAATTATATGCAAAGAAAACACATGCACAGAGCCCAGAAAAAGAGGCAACAAACAGAAATGAATTAATATAAACCTAATTTTCTCAAGTTATTTTATTTTTAATATCTTACCTGTGCTGCCCAGATGTTGTCAAGATCCTGAAGGGTCAGGGCCTTTTCTTTGATGACAAATCGAAGGATTTTTTCCAGTTTCTCCACATACTGTGGCTGATGTAGACTATCTCTTAGCACTATGGACAAAATGTTGTTTTGCTGGATCCATTCCTATGAGAGAGTGCCTCAGATTGCTTAGTGGCCCAGTAGCAAAAAAAACTTACATGTCACACATAAAACAGAACTGCCCTCCTAACAACTCATGATTTAGTACTTCAATAATTCTCATGTGAATAAACACACTGACGGGACAATAATCCTCAAGATCTATTTTTAATTTTACAGAAGGAGTGGGTTCAATTTACATATAACAAACAGAAAAAAGGCCAAAACAGCCTGCAAAGATGGTTTACAGCTGGGTCCTGTCCTATAAACACTTCAAATCAAAGACAAAGAGCATGAAGACAAAAAAGAAGGAAATGTACTCATATTAGAGAAATTAAAGAGGGACACTGCCTCTTCTGAGTTTTTATAAAAAATATGTATGGGCCATTATACAAGTCTATTCTTAGGGATGCAAAGGAACAAGTAATAGGTTTATTCCATGCTGAAAAAAAGAAGAAAGAGAACACAACGTTTCGGCCGTGGAGCCTTCTTCAGGTGTGCCTTCTTCAGCACACCTGAAGAAGGCTCCACGGCCGAAACGTTGTGTTCTCTTTCTTCTTTTTTTCAGCATGGAATAAACCTATTACTTGTTCCTTTGCAGCCTACGCATGCTGACGCAGCTACCCACCTATTCTTAGGGATGTTTTTAGGGTGAGCCGGAATAAATTCCATATTGTGAAGTATTAATGGCAAAATAATCCTTGACTTTGTGAATTTAGATTTGTGTTTTTACACGTTTTAACAATTGAGAGACTTTCTGTAAGTAAGAATTCCATTGTACCAGTACATGTACCGGTTACATGTGGCAATAAAGTTTAAGTTCAAGTTTTTAACATTAAATAGTGATACAATCATGTCTCTACAGAACTGGGTGCTTCAGCCATGAATATTACACTGAGTTTATGAGGTTGAGTTCTCCTACCCAACTAAATGACAGTCAAATAAGTGCAAATCCCCTTCTCAATAAGAACTGGCTAAAAATTGTGAAATCTCAAGTACCACTGTTTAGGAAGAGATTTAAGAATGAGGTTCAGAGGACACGAGCACTAGGAAAGCAGATCAGTTTAACTTAATTAACATTAAGTTAATGTTAAAAATTAGTAGCGAGAACATAAAAAAAATCTGCAGACGACATTAAAGAATTGTATGCAATCAGGTCAAAAACTATATCTTGTTCTGATAAAGCACAACATAAAAAGAAAAATTGTACTTACTGCCATTCTCTCAGCTGTTAGCCACTCCTCCTCCTCAGGATTGCCATGTCGATGTGTGTAATAGGAAACGCTGGATATCACCTTATTAACTTCATTTAGTGCATTCATTTTTCCATTAAAAGAAGAAATTTGCAATAACCTGTTTTTTTAAAAAGCAAAACACGAATCAGAATTAGATTTTGAGATGTACAAATCATGGTTACAATCAAAAGGTAGGTACTGCCTTCAATGCCTTCAATCTCCAAAACTAGAACACAAGTGCAGTATTTGTGCCTATATGATGGGGTCAAATATAGAAGAAAATACACAGAGTTATTAGCAAAAAAAGAGGCAAATCTTCACTCTTACAGAAAAAACATTTCAAGTACAATGTAATGGACAAGCACTTCATTCTAATCATTTCTGCAAATCCCAAAAGTTTTAACACATAGCACGAGTTATACAGTATCTTCTGAACTTATAAGACAACTTTATCCATTCACATTTTCAAGAAAAAAGGCTCACCTAAGAATCATTTTTAACCTAAAAATTTCTAAGTTTTTCACTGTTTCTTCTTGCCCTGGTACCCGTGAAGCTAGGTTCTTCAATGATTTGATTATCATCGACAAAGCATCGTTTTTGGCTTCATTCTTTGCTTCCTTTTTCAACTCCTCATCTGTCAGATTTTCTAGGAACTGAGGAACCATTTCTATTATTGGGAGGAAGTACTTCTTCACCGTGTGCAATGTTAAAAACTCATAGCACTGCCCAAATGGTCTGAAAATAACAAAAAAAAAATTTTAAACACCATCAGCAAGACACACGGAAACATTTAGTTTTACTCCTAAAGTGAGGTTCTACTGAGTATGAAGTTTAATAAGCCATCAGCAGTTATAAGATTTTGATATTTGGTTAAGATTACTATGAATACCACTGTGCATCTTTAGATGTTTTATTAACACTTTATGGAATCAATTGCTTGCAAACTGATCAGAAATATCTATTAAACCATTATTTACATAATTTAAACTAAAGCTTCGCTGAAACTATTCTGAAAAGAGTTCTGTTGTATGAAAGCATCACTTACTTGATAAGGGCTGCAATGATCTGAACATTCAAGGCCTGTCCACTCATAAATCGATCATGCAGGATCTGAAACCCGTTTAACGTGCCGAACTTGTTTATTAAATCCACTAACCAACCCTGAAAGGAAATAAATTGGTTTGTGAGCAAATTTAACGTCTTTCCACAGTAAATAAGATTTCTATTATTTCCCCTAAAATCTTTTTAGCAATGTTTAAAGTACCGTGTAAAATGCATTACATTTACAAAGAGCCCTTAAAAAAAATCAATAAGAAAAACAAAATGTCTGTTTAATCATTAGTCAGTTTAATTCTCCCATGCTTCATAAGGCATTCAGTCCATGTTGACACTATACCCACATATTCTTCTTCCAGCTTTCAATTCTTATTTTCTGGCATTCCTTTTCTAATTCCACTGTAATGTGTAATCTGACAGATGTACATCCTTTCATTTTCCTCCAAGTATTTATAGTAATTCTGCCGTTTTCTTCATATCCTGAGGCAACTCTACACACATACACTTCTTCTAAGAACATTACACAGGTTAACCATTCTCCCTGAAATTATAATTCTGCACAAAGGACAAAGAGATAGAAATTGTTGAGACCGTAAGTGGGGTCATTCTTTATCTCATCATCCAGGAATAAACACCACATGCATTTTTCTCTCTATGGTGGGCTCTCAGAAAAAAAAAAACATGCCGGTTCTCAGAAAGTTTAGATAAGCTATAAAGCTTAGAAAGAAGCTGTAAGGAATCTTTCTATATTTCATAATGGACTTTACTTTCGACTTGTCTCTTTGAAGCCAGCAAACGCTGATGCAGTTCCCCACTCAAACACCTACGTGACAGGATGAAAAGATAACTTGTAACGAAAGCACCTACTTGATCGGAGGGGTCGTTCTGGACACTTCAATTCAATTTATACAGCAAACATGACCAACTTCCCATGGTGGGAATGCAGACTAAGGAAAGGCTAAAAACCATGGGCTTCCCAGAGTGCAGCACAGTTTTTCCCCAGTGCTTTGTGTGACCAATATATAGAGGAATTGTAAATCCAAACATTGTAGGAATTCTCATCTAACAGGAACACGACATACACGCAGCTCAAACAGCAGGGGGTTCACTCACCTTCGGTGACCGTGGATCAGGCGGACGGGCAAAAAGCTCATCTTCAGCCATCTGCACGGCAGCGGGCACCGTCTCAGAAGGACGGGTACCGTTGTAGATATGGAACTTGCAGTGAGGATTTAAGGCCATAGCAAGAAGCTCAAGAAGAGGAAACCAGTCCTGGGAGAGCTTGGCCACACAGAGTTCTACCAGCCGGTGAGTGTTGTTAATAATACACCTCTGTTGAAACAAACATGTCTTCCATCTCAGGGAATGTTTCAAGTGTCAAGCCATTTACAACACCTAGCACCCTCCATGTACATGTTGCTACACTTGAAAATAATTTGATTAAAAATTCTCCTTTCATGTGGAAGCCTTTTAATTCCACAAAACAGACCACCATGCAGATTATGGTAGCTGCAATTTTTGTTTTCTGCTGATAAATTTGTTTACAGAAGGAACGGCTCCAAAAATCTGTTGCTTGTTAACGGCTTGTGAAATTGACCGAAAAACACCAATTCTCAAAAATAGCGACTGCACTTGTAATTTTCCAAGTGCATGTTGGCTTGTATGATGCCACAGTTTTTTTATTTCTAATAATTCTCTTTTTAAAAACAGTTGATTTGATCATCTCAGAAAACATTATAAAAATTACACCAGTTTTGTTCTGCTAAATTGTGTTAATTTCTTGTCCCACCCACAAGCTGTCTTACTGTATACTCACATGAATCTCAAATTTCCAGCCACTCACAGCCTCATCTGTAAGGATTTTTGTAAAGGAAATCGTCAAGCCATCTCGAAAAAATCTCTGGCATGCTTCACACTTTACATCAAGTCCTTGAAAGGAGAAAGAAAAAAAGAATGAATACAAAGAAAAAAAGACTCGAGCAGAAAAGAGCTGGTAACAAAACCAAGATGTTCAATTCTATAGAATAATTTCACCGAAACAAACCAAGTCCATAACAGTAAGCAAATGCCTTTTGACAAGTTTGTACAGAGTGTGAGACTTCTCACATCAGGTACATTTTTTAAAAGGAAAGCAAAGTGAATATCTGATGGGCAATCCGGGCTTGATAAAATAACGTCCAGTTATAGGAATTACCAAATTAAACTATCTGCTCAAAAATAGTTTTGCAACTGTTGACAAAGGTATTTATTGTAAACATTTGACTAGATCATTATTTAAAATACAGAGTAGAACATGAGTTTTTTTTCCGAATAAATTTGATTTTTAATAAATTGTAGAACTGCCCATTTTTTTTAAATCACCACAAAACGGAACCACCAATTGTTTTTCACTGCCTTTCAAGCTCACAAGCATGAACCCTGACAGCTGACACAGGGGAGAATGAGGAAGTGCATGGAGACTCTTCTCCTGCCCACCTTCAAGCCAGTTGCCTTTTAACAGGTCCCCAGGCAGCCCCACCCCTGTACCAGAGGATAAGCACCTTCCTTGCAGACAGCAGCCCGTTCAAGTGTTGCCGAGAGCTGACGGACACCAGGCTGAGTAATCCCACTCTCCCCTCAGCGACGCACGGCCAATTTAGCGCAGCCGCTTGGGGAAACCAGGTCACAGGGAGCTGGTGACACGACCCAGGTACAAACCTGGGATGCCTTGATCAACTGAGCTCAGCCTGCATTTGAGCAATCGCCTTGACTGGCTGAGCCACTTGCCTAGCAGTTCTTACCAAGAAGAGAGGATGAAAACAGACTACTAACCATTTTTACTAAGATCTATAGCAGCTTCAAGAAGAACCTCTAATTCACCCTTTGGCAAAACTGGAACAACCCAGCGGGGTCTGAGAACAAGAGGAAAAATCAGGGTTATGCAAATGTCAGCACTTGTGTCTTGAAATGAACCAAAAGAAACTGAGTGCTGGGCAGACTCGGGGGTCATACCGGTTGATCATGTCATCCAGCTTGGCCAGGTCAGTGTGGGGGAAGGCTGGCTCCTCCTCTTCCTCCAGCTGAGGGTGGCCATCGCCCTGGCCCTGCTCATCGGGTGGGCTCACCGGGGAGTTCTCATTGGAGGAGTTTGGAGAGGATGTCTGCAAACACATGCGGGGACAGCCCTAGTCAGCATCACAACTGAAAACATGTCCCATTAGAAATGCCGTTGGAAAGACAAAATAAAATGAAAACAGCCGCTCAGAACCTTAAGGCAGTGAACTGGCTGCAGCCTCTGCAGCACTTTAAAACAAATTTGCTTAGAAATGGACATTTTTTACCTAGCATTCTCAATCATAACAATTTTGCAAGAATTTCTATACTTCACACAGAGCCCACAATTAAATTCATCGTCATGTTTCCATTTATCACAGTGTGCCTACACCCAGGGGGATAAGGCTTTATTCAATAGTCTAGATCATTCTAAGACTGCAGAATTGCTTCCTACAGCAGTTAACTTGAATGAATGCCAAGTATTTCAGACAGTTTGAACAATGACAACTAAGAATGGACCTAAATAAAACAAGTGTTACAGAAACTAGTTAATCCTATGAGCACAGAAAATATGATTTCTTCACTACTTCAACCTTGTAAACCACCTTGCAAAGCTACTGCAGACTAAATAGATCACTAGTCTTTTTCTTAACGAGGCAAAAATGTAATCCGAGCTATAGCTGCAGTTGATCAATGACAGCTGTAAACCAACAGAATGACAAAAAGAACAACTGACATGCTAATTGATTTTAAATCAATATGAAAAACTAGGTAGAACTAGCCTCTCTAGAGCATAACATACAGTACTTCACACTACTGTGCTCCACCAGCTAAGAGGCTGGATCAGTGTAGTACCAAGGTGCCATCAATCACTATGAGCCTAGCTCCACAGTAACTCCAGACAGTCCTATACAGATCACACCTGGACCTCCTCATCAAGTGGCCAGTTATAGGTTGTCCTGCAAGCTGGTACCACGTTCACTGATGTCTATCAACCAGTTCTACAGAAATCATTGAACATGAAGCTATTGTTCCTTTTTAAGCAGCAACCCTCTTTCAGAAAATGCATGAAAACTAATGCATGAACAGGAAATGGTCCACCTTCTGAGTTGGCATTTGAAGAATTCCAGTCACAGTGAGCTAATGACATGACCCAGGCTCGAACCTGTGATCATAAAGTTATACCTGCGCTTGAGTAAGGGCTTTTACTGGTTGCACCTATGGAGAGACCCCACCAACGCGTTTTTTTAAAGAAAACGCAGCCATTTAGCTGTAACATGCATGATTTATGTTTTTATTTTTTTTTAAATCTTTCTAATACAAACAACAATCTTCATATACTCTTTAGCACTTCAATATCTGCAGTATAGAAAAAAGAAAAATGACAGATTCATACCATTTTGTTGTATTGGTATTAAATGATCTCCCAGTGTGCATAGCTTCTCTCTTCCTAAATAACCAAACGAAGACAAAAGTGATGTGACTTTCTTCCCTGTCACCGGATTTGGAAGCCAAACTGACCCACACTTTCTCCCAGGTACAGCACAAGCTGGTCAAGCATGAAATAAAAAAACTGATGCCCGACCCTAATCCAGTTCAAACATGACCTTTTCATGACCCAGTCTTATTTTGTGATCCAGATAGGTCAACTGATAAAATCCGCTTATTTTGATCTGCAGCTTTTATATTTTGTACTTGCACTGAAAAGCCCCGAAGAGCTTTCCATGCACACCGGTTCCGAGTACAGAAATTTAAGAGCATATGAAATCCAATGATTTACACAATTGTTCATTTCGACATCAGGAATCGACTTAAACTAAGCCGCAGACACAAAGTTTCTCAGGTTTTAATCTTTGGGAATTCATTCAGGAATTGAGAATTGATACAGGGATACCATGTCCCATAATCCAATCCATTTAAGGCGCCTCTTCTCCCAAGGGCGTTTCATTGCGAAGTCGTGAACAGGCAGTCGGCCAGCCCCGGGGCATATTTCGTACAGCACAGCCGCCAAGACTGATCAAGCAGATCAATAAAAGGTTCTTTCTATGCTCCCGAATTCATGACCTCCAGCTGGACCAGACCGTGAGGGATGACCACACGGCCGCTCTCCCCCGAACATCACCTGCCGGCCCTTCAGCGAGGTCGGCGGTGCAGCTGCTCTCCTTCTTGCCACCAGTCCTGGAAAGTTGGTTGGACCCCCCCCAGCCCGGGACAGAGGTGGCTCTCAGACAGCTGGCCAGGCACCATGGGGCTCAGCTTGCGCCTCAATTTCCACTTCACCCACCTGGGTGATCCCTAGAACATGTTCACCGTACAACTATCCAGACAGTCAAACTAGCAACCATGACATTACCCCACGTGCACAAACCTGCAACCTCGATCTGTTATCACACGCAATAGGACTCATTTCAATCACTGCACTTACTAAGTGCAGCTATTTACTCTCATCTATCAATTTCAAAATAAAAATAAAAACTTCTACACAATGTTACTTAACTCTACAGATTGAATACAAAGGGCTTACAAAAATATTATGATGCCCGAGTAAATAAGGCAACCAAAAACAGAAGGAGACACTGCCAGAATGCTTGAGGTATAAAGAAAGGCTAGCAAAAGTGACAATGCAAACCTCAAAACCATTAGTAATTCTGTTGGCATACAGATAGTGAAGCAGCTCAATCAGTTCTTTGTCTTCAATGTCAAAGCATTTTATGAAACTGTAGGATCTGTAATACATAAACACCTGAATTTTCAGAAAAAAAGATTGTCTTTGTTCTTCTATCAGAGACAGCTTGGGTCTTTGCACCATACTCGTTACACATGCACAAAACCAGATTGGCCGGATTCAAGCTTTTTAAGAAGTTTTAGTTTCTCATATAAACGGGAATGAACTAGGAAACAAAGGCTACAGTCCCCTCACGCCCGATCTAGACCACATCCAAAGGGAAACCTGAAATAGTGGGGCTTAGCAGACCTGAACCTGTTGCCTGTCGGTCAGTGCCTGTGGATCTTGTCCTTTGTTTCCCCAGATCAAAGCATATTAAAAGAAGCGGTTTATTTTCCTGTAGTGCAATAAATGAAAACAACCCTATATCATATCACTCCAAACAACAGGGCCAGATTCCAACAGTGGGTTGTGGGAATATTATGCTGTCTAGACAATACTGTCATGAAGTACCTATACAGTGTTTAGCAGACATCCACATCAAAGCTGTGTACCTTCTGCAGCTTCTGGGAAGATGCAACTACAGAACTTAGGAACTGTGGGGGTGTGGAAATGATGCCTCCTGCCTGGCTGACCTACATAACCAGCTTGATTCTTGTTTTAAATCAATAGGTCCGTTTCCTCAACCATGCAGCTCTCATTCATTCACTCCAGTCCGTTCTCTGACAAGGTGTAAAGGCTTGCATCCAGATTATTAGAATGGATGCAGTCAATACTTATGCATATCATTCAATATTCACTTCCCTTCTCCGCAAAAAAAAATGCTGCCTGCTGTAGTGCAGATTTTCTTCTATTCTTCAAAGCAAATACTTGTTTATCACAACCAGAAAGCCACAGACGAACTTGTTTTTCCCAACACTGAAGCATTCTTTACATGCACGCTAATAAACACAACAGGTTGCAATTCTATTTATGATTATAATTGCTTGAATGCACATTGTGCAAAAAATTGTGCAGATGCCTGACACTTAAATGTGAACTCTGTTGTATAAATACATGTTTGAGACAAAATAATTAAAAATACAGGAATCACAACCACCCACAAACAGTTGTCGGTTTTTACCAACCAGATAATGCTACATCAGCTAATATCAGAGCCCCTGATTTAGAAACATGGGGGGGGGGGGGTCTTCAGTTAGTGGATAGCTTTCCTTCTCAATTAACACAAGGCTATCTTCCTAAAATACCCCTCAAGTAAACTGTGTTGTGACCTGCTTGTTCAGTATTTATTAATTTATTGGAACTGGTATTTTTAGTCTCTACAGCAACATACAACTGAAAAAAATAACCAAGGATTAAGGCCAAAATTTTGAGAAACAGCATAATATTAGCTTCTATTTTTTTCCAATATTTCTTGTCTTGAGCTTTAAGCAGATGCATTAAAAGCATCAAAGTTCCTATTTGCATTGTACCATAAAACAGTGCTAAGAACATCAGCAGAAGACGGATCTGAAAAAGAAATGCTTCTATTACCCACAGCTGAGAACTGAGTGGTATATTTATCGCAAGTAGAGTAACACTGTTCTAACTTTTTCCCCACTACAGAATCCTTGATCTGAACCACATCTGTACTCCTCTGGGTTTCTAAGCCTCCTCCCCATAGTGCCTGTGTTGGTCTCTTGATTTAAATACAAAATAGTTTAAATGAGGCAAATGACTCGTGCTGTTGAGGAAGGCCCAATATATTCTGTACATACAGCTATACACAAAGCCAGAAGCTTCTGACAGTTCAACAAAAAAAAACCCCAAATGACCAGTGTTAGTCAATACTTTTTTATATAGTCTAGTCAACTAAAATAGCAAAAAGCCAAGGTCACTTCAGGCTTCGGTCAATTTTAATCTAGTCGACTCAAACATGACTAGAACCTCTCTTGTTGACTAAAACATATCTTTCATTTTAGTCAGGCAGTTCAATTCAAAACCTTAATATCAAATGCATTAAGGTTTTAGTTTAAGCAATTTTCAGTCTTTGGTATATTAAATACATTTTTTTCTATAGAAGTTTGACCATTCTAATTTTAATCCATATAATAATTGTGGCAACTTTTTACCTTTAAGTTAAGTAAGGAACAAATGTGTAAAACGGATAGGGAACCTTAACCTTTCCTCTAAGAAAATAAGAACCGTAAACTTATTAAATTTAAAGAAGTAAAAAAAACATTAAACAAATCCTGAACATGGTATTTGAAGGACTTGATTCACCCTTCAATGAGTGAACTGAATACAATAGGTACAGCTAAGAGACCAGACCATTATCTGTGAAAGACCAAAGAAAATGAACTGGAAATCTGACAATGAATGAGGGAAAACCACAAATGTATGGGACTACCACAGAATAAGACCGTTTCACACTAACTTTACTTTCACTACTGCAATGCCAAAAATGATCATAAAAGTTCTCATTTAACCATCTATTGCATGATTACATGATTTCATATTTTTTCAAGAGCTTTACTTGGGTGGCCTGTTATATATGAAGTACTGCTAGACTCCAGATCTTCTTCTTCGAGCTGAAAACATAACCTAGTACCACTAAAGATTTTCCATCGAAGCTACTTGTTTTCTCAACAGGTCCCCAGCAGCAAGCTAGCTAGTTGCTAGAGAATACAATCCTAATAAATTTGAATATAATAGGGACAGGGTACATAATGAGCAATAAAGCCAATATCAGTTAACAAGATTTAACTCTTGGATTCTAATGCTACTCAGCTTAAGTCCATTTAGCAAAACTAGCTTTTTGTTGTTAATCTTTCCCCGGTAAAGTTGCAAATGGTCACTGGAGCACAAGAAAGCTTTGTCTCTTTTGGCTTTTCTCTTTATCAAGGTGCTCTCCTTTTCTTAATCTAAGAAGTATAGCGTATAAATCTTATCGTTATCTGGGAGAGCAATAAATGAACACACAGATGATGGTTTCTGATAAGGGCTGTGGAAATGAGGGAACAATCCCCAGAAAAGACCCCACGTCAGAGCCTGCCAGTTATCACACAGCAGTAGCCCCGAGGCAGCGTGCACTCCGCGTGCTGCCAGAGCCCTAACCTTATTCCCCTCCAGCCGGCTTGCTATTTGCCAGACTGAGGGTAAACGTAAGAGCAGTGAACCTCAAAGGATGAAATTAATATTCCTCCGCATCAAACAAGTATTTTTCGCCGTAATTTAGTCTTCGTTGATGTGGATTAATTTTCTGAGCGTTTTGCCATGGTTGACTGAAATGAAAAACTGTTGACAAACATTTGCCATAAATTTTGTTGACAAAATTCACGCTGGCTGCCCCCCAACGCAGCCAGCCTATCTAAGCAGAGTCTAAGTTGATGCAGGCATACAGCGGAGTAATTAATGAAAATTAAAATGCAGGCCTTTGTCTACTTTACTCTTTCAGGCATCCAAATAAACACGCAAGCACCTTTCCTCTAGCCAATGGATTTGCTTTCATATAGGACCTCTGTTTTGCCCATTCCTTCATCCTACAAATACTTCAGATGTGCACACGTTGGCGACCAACACAATTTCCCCTACGGCCCCACAGTCGGCACCAAATCTTTGATACTGTTGTCCTGCCAAATAAGGTTTTTCCCCAGGAGGGGCCAAGTTTCAGTGCTTGAATAAGAACAGGTGGGAAATCATCATACTCGCATACAAACTTAACAGCTGTTTTCCCATGTAACGCTGAAAGGGATTTAAAAGCCCCTAATTGTTTTTATTTGCTGTCTGATGCTCTACAGTGTCCATTAGTTCAATTACTTGTTTTTGACAACTTCAGGGTGAAGTACCAAAAATGTCTGAGTAGTTTCCACTCCTTCACAGTGCTGGATGAAGCCATTACCAAAAACAAAATTCACCAATAGCTTTTTACTATTACTTTTTATTATAAACTCATAATTTAGTTCTGATTTATAAATGCATATTCTCATACTTTAGCATTATTCACATTGTATTCATCCTATTCAAATCATTGCATAACTTCCCTCCTCAAACAACACAACAATAGACTGTTATTGTTTGACTTGAGAATACAAATAGGTTTCCCAGCGAACGTCACCTAGGATAACTGCTATCTATATACAGCACACAGCTTTTCTCTCAAAATCTCGGAATTCAAATAACTTTATTAGTGTTCTAACCGGTCTCCTTTTTGAACCTCCCTTGCTAGGACAGTTTAAGCTCCTCTTGATAAACTAAATGGTTTTACCAGATCTGCACCAAGAAGCAACCCCCAATAACAGCAGCGAGATCCACTCCTGGTTTTGTAAGCTGCTGACTTGTGTACAGGCCCGCATCAAGCGCCTGATATTCCAGGCTTGCTAACTTACATATGCCGCTGTTCTATAATCAAATCCTTTACATACCTTTCCGCTTTGTCATAACACCTCATACAAGAGCCTGCATTTGGCAAGAAGACCAACGATGTGTCAGACTCGCACTGCAACTGTAGGGCTACTCTGCTAATGAGGAAAGAACCTAATTTCTTTCTGTGGAACGGAATAAGGAACCAGTTTCGGCAGAAAACTCCAGGAACCCTGATGACAACTTTCAGATTTGTTTTGGTTTTGTTTTTTTAAAAAAAGACCGGCCCTGCTTCGAGACTGACCTGGTTTTGGGGGAGAGGAGGCTGGGACTGCCCGTCGGGAGCCTGGCCCTGGCTCTCATTCCCTCCGACCGGAGAGCCACGGGTCGTGGCTGTCATACTCGACACGGGGCAGATCTTTGCAATTTTGTCCGCTTATGTTGTTGTCGTGAGAGAAGAAATTATTGCCTCCTCAACAATGATGGAGAACCAGCATGCGTCTGTAGAAGAAAGCACCACCTGAAGCACAGGATGTTTTGCAGAGACCATTGCATAACCTAGAGGAAGACAAAATGGGAAGAGAAAAGGTCAGTTTCAGACAGGGTCTCAACTGAAAACAAAGGGGCTGAAAAATGTAAGTCTTTGCAAAAAAAACAGGGAACAAAACAAGTATGCCACAATTTCTTAAAATTTCTTTTGCAAAGTAAACCAGATACTTAAACTTTCAATATCAATGTTATTTACCACATTATTAGGAAAATGCAATAAATCAACCTGATTATCTTTAATGACATGGATCACCTGATAAGTTTGTATTCCACATTTGTCCTTGCCTCAGAAAGCTCATACCTATAAATACTGCTCTACAGTGTGCTCTACTGTGCCCTCCTTCTGCAGGAGACAGGAGAATGAGCAAGATGCGGATGGAAATACCTGCATTGTCTTTGCTGGGCAGGGGAACTGTGAAAGCTTAATGGAATATTCAGAATGTCAAAGGGACTGCACAGGCCCAGAAACAAAAGGAGGAAATTCCCTTTGCAAATAAGTCCCTAATCCCCACTGCCAAGAAGTCTGTAACACCACATACATGATCGCCTGAACTTCAACTTTGCAAAAGAAAAAAATCCCACCCATCTTCACGGGTGTGAGAGACAATCTATGTCTCTCAATTCTCAGGAAACAGACCCGGTAGATCCCCAGTGTCGCATTAACCAAAATTTAATCATTATAAAGTCGAACGGTGATCAACATGCCTGGAGATGAGAAATTACTTTAAACTAAGCAGGAATTTGTAAACCCAAAGTGGAATTTAGCCAAGACAGCCTAAAGCTCAGGAACAGAGTCATGGGAAACTGAATGGCCAAGTAGCCAGGACCTCAGTTTAGTGTCCCATCCAAAGGACATTCAAACCTCCTATGGCACCTTCTATAGCAGTGTCCTTGTTGACCATTTTGGGGAATTAGAATTTAAAGGTTTCAAACGAGAGAGAGATCAAAGACATTTGGGCTTTGATCTTGCTGGTTTGGTTGTTAGTAGTTAACTGGTCCAAAGATCTCATTCAGCCGGTTCGTGAAAGAAGCCAGGGTATCAGCCTCCAAAATCAAGGCTTTCCGTGTGGTTTCCTCAGGTTTGTATTTCACTGTTCATTCTGAAATTTCCAATCACTGCATAAGAACTTTTGATCCAGTGGGTCAGAAGTTCTGACCACCTACAGGTCTGAGAACACCCTTATTTTTCAGGGGTCGCCTATGCCAGGGATGACCAGGACCAACACCGCTTAGCAAGAAATTATTTTATAGAAGATATATTAAACATTTACCCCATGTTATGTTTATTAGAATTTGTGGGAAAAAATGCCAAATCAAAAAGTTCAATTTAGGTCATTCGAGTGGGTAATGGAAGAAACCATAAGAGTTTTTGGTCTAGCAACATCTTCTAAATAACAGAACAAACCTAGTGAAGCTCAAATGTTGAAGAAATATGCCCCCAAAGGCGAGTTTTCAGAGCTGTCCAATTCAACATATTAGACACCAATAGATTTTCAACTCCATCTTGTACCGATGACAGGTGAATTGCTTGAGGAGCATACTCTCTTATACCTGAGGCCAAGATGAGAGAGGCAAATTTCAGCCATTTGGCAGAAAAGCCAACAACAGTGCAATGTTCTTCACTTTAGATCAGCACTAGAAATGCAATGTAGCACATAATTCCTGGCTAACAGCTTTAAGAAACTTAAGAAAATATGAGTGGCTTTTCTCATGAGTACTGTGTAACCATTCAACTTATCAAATGCAACCAGCAAAACATGCTTCAGGATAAACAATTCAGACACTTCTGTTAATACAGGTACAGCACTCCAGTCACTATTATTCCTCAAGTCAGGGAATATAAAACAAGGGACACCAAGATTAGGACCAGCAGGGAAGGCATTAAAAACCATTTGAAGTAAAAGCAACACAAACACTTATTTTTCCTCATTATGACACAATGTTCTCTATCAAAACCAGCTTTAAATACATTTGCATTTTTAAAGACTGATGCAGTGCTGTTGTAAAATAAATATTACCCATTAAAAACCACAGAACAGCTTCCTCTTTGGACTGTGATCCCCTTAAGGTACCTATGTAATGTTATTCTCGCGTTTTTATCAACCAGACTCTGCACTGAGCAGAAAAGAATAATCAATTCCCTTGTTAAGGAAAATTTTGTCAGCAAGCTGCTTCTCCCGGAGAGACTCCCACCAAGCAGAAGCCTATCCAAGAAGTCAAGGAAGGAGTCATTTGCTCCATGGCCAGGAGGAAAGGGACAACACACACTAGCTGAATCAGGAACCACTACAGTATAAGTTGCTAATCACACAAAAAGCATCTAGCTTACTGTGCCTCCAAGATGTTTGTTTGCCAAAATCTAGCATCATTCACTAAAAACCTTACTCCGGCTTTTAGTCTTCTTTCAGTTCTAAGCCATGTCAATATCATGATTCCGAAAGCAATGCACATTTGGTGTGGAAATATTATGCAGGGATTCGGGTGGCCTTGTCTATACACAGTACAACTGGTCATACACATCAAAGTCCACCAAGTTACTGATCACCTGACAGGGGAGTAAGTTTCAATGTGAATTTACAGTGCAGCCCAATTCACTTTTGTCCACCTCACTACCAATCCACACATGCTTAGAAAAACACCCCTGACAGATATGGCTGGGCTTGCTGTGTTTAAACACAATCAGAAGATGGGACAGGGCAACTTAACTCCTCTAACAGTAAAACAAAAAAAAAAAACAACACTGGCCTTCTAAGAGCTCCTTTACACCTATTTGCTTCTGCTTCATACAAACCAATATCATAGAGTTTAGATAGGCAAAAACATCTCACAGCCCCCCATCTCTTAGCTGGACAGTAAGCAGTGAACATCTTGTCAAGAAAAACAGTGGAGCTGGAAAAGCAAATGAGCTACCTTTAGGCCCAGCACATGATAAAATCACTTAAAAAGCACTTCACTTCAATAACTATAACTCAGTGAAATGCACTTAAACGTGATGAATGTTTCTCATAAAAGTAACAAAAACAAATTTCAGTAGAGAAACCTCTGAAATCAGTGATGACCACTTTTTACCACAATTAGGTGTATATCACAATACAGTCACACAACATCTGGGCATTGATTGCTTAATCTTTAATAAGACGTGGGTGGTAAAGGAAGGACTACAGTTAAAAAAACTAAAAGAAAATTAAACGGGAAAAGATTTCACCGCAAATACCAAGCATGACACATACATTTATATCTGGAAAAGGGAAGAGAAACTAGTATGAAGGAAGACACCCTGGTGTGTGCTCAGTAGCAACCTAACTGAGCCATAAAAACTGGAAGCCTTTCAAAAACCATGGAGATGTAGATTTCCACAGCAGAGCTAAATTCCATCCTCACTCGTATAATGGAACAGGAGACCTTGCACTGTGCCGGTCCCCTGTCACACCAAACACAGACTGCGACTGGTCCCCTCCTTTTGAGAGCTCGGGTCTGAAAACTGGTATAAGCAGAAATCTTCATTCGAGGTGGTCTTCATGGATGATGGCAGCTGCCATCACTCATTCAGAAAGATCCATTTACAATCAGAGAAAATAACCAGGACGGAGCCACCTGGAAAGGCTGCCTAAGATGACTGCCATCGAATGTCAAAGGGACTTCAACACATTTCCTCCCAGCTAAGCCAAACCTTTCCATGGCCGATCAGTGCCCGGTGGAAAGCTCCAGGAAAGTTTTAAGTCCCGCACAGAGAACCTCATCATAGACGGCTCTGTGCTATAGCTCAGGGTGACTCCAGATTTGAGTCTGGCCGTTTTAATGGGCAGAAAATCAGAGAGCAGCAGTCCTCTTTTGTGCTCAAACACCAGCTTTATTTTTCTTTTCTGGTAATATACATCTGGTTCTTTTTTCTTTGAAGATCAGCAATTTCTATCTTAATCTGAAATGTTCCACAAAACTACAGCACACGGCAAAAGATCATACAAGGCCTTTTGTGACCTAATATACAGGTGACCCTTTCCGTGAATGGAGTTTAATAAAAATCTAGTCTAAATAACAGAACATTTATAGCAACCTAGCATTCCCCATACATCTAAGACATCACAATATTGTGAAAATGTTCAATTTTACCATTTTCTGGCAGAACCGGCATCAGCGATCTTGATCTGTACAACGCAAAGTAACACAAACCAACCTGAAACAAAACATTACAGCACTGGCAGCTATACTATACGTACAGCTCTGGTCTGAATGATGCGCACAACTACGACCTAACTTTATTAGACTTCTTGTTGCAAATACTACAAAAACACAGCTGAGACTTCTTTGTGCTCCAGGATACCTGTATATCAAATGTTCAACACAGCAGAACAAATGCTCTCTTCAGACAGTGGATCCATTCCACAGCTATTTTTAATATTATAAGATTTCTTAGCTGTTGCACAAAATAATACCAATCTTTATTGTGTGTGGTTCATTCAACACATTACCATCTCTAGACACAGCCCTGGTATTATGCTTTCTGGCTATTTGAAAGAATGCAAGATAGTATAGTATTTTCAGACGAGAACCAAACACCACGTAATTCCCCACACAGCTCATCTTGCCATACTTTTTAACTGCCGACGTTTCTTCACATAGAAAAGAGCTCCTCACCCCCGGATGGGTAAGGACACCCGCATGCTCAAATTCAAACACAAGCTTAATTTCACTTTCACATGCTGTTCAACTGCCCCCAACGGAAAAGCAACAATATCTCTAATCCCACTGACGATCCTTCGGCACTGAACCAAATACACCCTTTTAGTGTGACATACCCTTCATAACCAAGGTGAAGGAACACCAGCCATCGGCACCTCATACACAACTTAGGACTATAGTTCCCCATGCATTTCAGACAAGACAAACGTTTCGCATGCTATAAAAATATTATATAGGTGGCATAGCAATCAAGTACAGAACAACAGAATTTTTTCCAATGTGAAACTGTTTTCCAGACAAGTTATATTCAAAAGCACATACTTACAGAC